TTTGAAATTTTGATTATTCTGTTTAAAAGTAAGTTAGTAAAAGAGGCTATTCGTCTGGATTCAAAAAAGCAGCATTATGAAGCAGTGAACTAGAAATCGTTGTTTTATTCATAGGCTAACATTAATCCATTATATTTACATGGGTTTACACAAGCAGTAAATGTTGTATCATTCTCAATGTATAGAGTAGATACATTAGTAAAGAGTAAAATACATAATCATTTGTTTGTTCACAAATTATTCCTAACAGTTGTAATTCCTTCGAACCATCTCAGTGTTATTCCGTTAAATAAGTAGTAAGTAGCAGTTATTTCACAGTCGTACTAGTAGCAGTAATCACCACAATCCAACAAAATGATAGTCTATAGTTTAGCATAGGAAATTATAGGTGATTAGTAAGTTCTGTTGATAGGTTTTACTAAAACTACACCATTTATTATTATTTCGTCTTCTGATTTTTATTGTTATTATTTTCATCATTATCATTCATAATATCACCCACTACATTTAGTTAAAAAGTAGAACATTTTCCCGCTTGAAATCTACTATTATTTTAAAAGTTTTCTTTTAAATTTGACAAAGTGTTGTTATCAAACTTTATGAATTATTTTCTATTAACAGCTAGTTATCTACCGTCTGTCTATAACTGATAATTTGTCAGTCCTATCTAAAATATTTTATTTGCAAATAAGAGTTAATGTGTGATTAGATCAACCAGTTTTCTTCATTTTTTCCGTTTTATTTTTTCCTACACAGTAATAAGGACGACAGTAACAACACAGTAATAAATTGACCGTATATAACGTTTAGTTGTTTTAAAAGATGAAGGTAGTTTACATTAAGAATTAATATCAGCTAGAAAACCGTTGGAAACAAAAGGGTATGCTAACCTTGAACTTGTCAATAATTCATTCTAATCACTCTATGCAAAACTCTTAAATCCAACACTGTACACGTTGCTTTTAATTTACTAAATTAAACTCAATCAAACTGTTGTCAATATTTTCATTTTCAGTTCATTCACAATATAATCACAATTATCAGGTGGAAACTTTTCCATTCATTCTCGATATGATCAGACTACCTACTTCTCAGTAGAATACGTTGGAAAAACATACCTGAAATTCAACCATTATCTAAAACACAACTATTACTTAGGTATATATACAGTAATTTAAGTAGTTTTGTTAGGGTTTAAGCTTATTTTAACCACAGACTGACACTAACTGGCGAACAATCGAAATCCAGAAAACAGCTGTATCCCATTCATTTGAAACCACCATAGTGCACTTTCTCACCACCATCCTACATGAAGTGGAATCCATAACCGCTAGACTTTATTATGTATACAATCCCTTTAAGCAGGCAATTTATGGTGGAAATTGCCCTCAAACAATGCTGACTCTTCTCCAAACCAATAGACTGATCATAAGTCTTATTCGCAGTGAAACTGTTGCCGTATAAATGCATTTTTCGTCTTTCATTAGTAATCTGTTTTCCTTCTAAATTTATTTGATAACGTCTAACTTGTGTCTGTATGTGTGCGCTTGTCAGTGTATATATGTCTGTCTACTAATTTTGGTGGATAACTGTAATTTTATCAAGTTCTAGACATCATTTTCATGTGTAAACATAATTTATTATCATTATCTGTTTAATTATAGTAAGAATAGTTTTGCGCTAAATACAGTCTCATCTAATCGCTAAATTAATCTATATCGTTTATTTTTTCACCGCACAAAGTGTTTGATTAATCTGTGTATTGCTGTTATAGATCCTATATAAGGATCAAATCTTTATTAATCGGTCTAATGAAGTGTTCTTTGGTTTCATGATGATGCTCTATCTAGTGAATTGATTGAAGCTAGAAATATTTGAGGTATTGTGTGAGGACTCCAGTAGTCTAATATATTTTGTCCATCATACAAAAGTCCCCCAAACTAGGAAGAAACAGTTATCTTAACATTTCTTTGCTTTTAATAGTTCTCCACCTTTGCTATATTGATTTATAAAAACAATCCAAAGCCATTTTGGAAAATCATTAAATATGTCATAAAATTGGAAATCCTTTGTGGTTCGTCTAGAAAACTATTATTAACAGTATTAGTTCAAAAAGTAAAATGGACTTTTATCAAGAGACAAAGTACTTTTGGCTAATTATTATTCGATGTGTTTATTTTAACAATTTAATAATGTCAGTTTTTCTTTGTATCGAATATTACTTTCTTTAAAAGTCAGTTTGTGTGGTACATACATGTATGTGTGTTTTGGTGTCTACCTCCGTTCCATATAGGCCTACTTTATTTTTTTTAGTCAAATAAAATATCCTCAAATTTAGCATTTAATTTTTATAAAATGGTTATAATGCACTGTTTTGTCGGTTGCTGAACCAAGTTATCCAGGTTTTTTTTATTTTACCTATTTCATGCTATTATTACATTTTTATAAAAGCGAAAAAAATACGCAGAAAATTCAAGCTAAATACTTTATAGATTTGTGTTAGGCCTGTCAAAATCTGACTAAGATGTTGGCGTTAAAATCGCATCTTAAAATAGTTTGTTTGTGTTTTTGAGCGCTAATTCATTTCGCTTACTTGTTTGTTTGCTTGTTCATCTTACTTGGTGATTTCTTTTTGTTTATGCCAAGATGTATTATCCAACTACTTACTTAATTACCACTATCTTGTGTAGATAGATGACATCCGTTAAAAAAGTAGCTTGGTTTTTTATTGCTTTCTATGTCGTAACCAGAAATTTTTTTATTAAAAATAATTAAATATTAGTTGACAATTAACTAAAACATATATAAATGTGTAGTATGTACCCCCTCTATATGCACAAGGTTCTTTGCATACATATATATATTATGTGAAGAAAAATTGGACAGTATATATTGCTAGTTTAGATTAATGTTTTTTTCTTTCAAATTTACAAAACAGTAAATGAAACAAAATGAAAACGTATTTTTCTTGTCTTGCATTTTTCATTTTTGTTACAATCATTAAGTAGATTTGTCAAATATTTTAACATTAAGTGTATATATTTCACATCATGTTTTTTTTTCTTCGTTGCTATGACTGTACTTTTTCTCTCAATAAATCAAACTAGTTATTATCCAGGTGTTTATTAACAGTATTAGTTTGAAAAGTAAAATGGACTTTTATCAAGAGACAAAGTACTTTTGGCTAATTATATAGGTGTTGTCACAACATGAGAGTCCTTGTAAATGCACAGACACGACTCCACTAGGAGTCTTCCCTTTAAGAATTCTCATAGTAGGACGAAGTAGTCACCTTGTTTTTTTTTTAGTTTTCGATGGTTGGCTAAGATTAGTCCATGATTAATACTATGACATTCAATAACCTTCATAAAAAGCTATAATAATAATGGATCCGTGTTTCTTTACATGAAGTTACTTCATGAACTAAAGAATTATTGATGATTGGACCGCCATCCTAAGTGATAACTAGACGAATGAGTGAACAGTTCATTCATTCAAGTACTTTAGAATGAATGATTCATACCAGTCCAAGTAAATACATGCATTTGTGAAATTTACAGATGAACTTTCCATGTAATTAATCATATAATAATCATATGGATGGGCCATTATGTGCCAGGTAATATTTCTATCTTTTTCCGAACACACATCCACATACATTGCATTTAATACACTTTAAATAAATCACCTTATTTATAAATAAAAATTTATTATTCGCTCCATTTATTGTTTTTTGAAGTACATTAATTAATGATTTCTACACATATTATATCATATTTAGCGACTTATCAAGGCTTAATAAAAAGCAACTTAAGTCAAATCACTGAGTTGAAATTCACTGTTAAAAGTTTTTCACCTTAAGTTTTCATCATTGTAATTCACTCAATATTTTCATTAATTTTCTCTACAAGTTCAAATGTCATCGATTGATTTGAAATAATGGACTGGGAGTTACCAGTACGAATACACACAAAATAAATGTTTAGTTTCATTTTATGCTCATTAAATTTTGTTCGCGAAATCCACATTCAGAAGAAAAAAAAACGGATTAAGTTACTCAGTAACCATGTGGGTTTATTCGACTAGCACTTTATTGTTACAAAAAAGTCATAGGGCTACTGAGTATTGTAACTTATGCTTGGTCAACTTACACTCGTGTACTCACCTTTGAGTTATGTTTTCTGATTCTGAAACTAGGGTAGACCAAGTCAAATTAGTGTTTCGATCACTAAACTATCTCTCTGTTGATTAAATCGATTCTACGAGTGACTTTTCTTGTGTTCGTATATGCTTAAGAAATTGATTTTTCTCACTTTTACCTTACATTTATAATTGAATAGATTTATTTTAATGAATACGTTACACGATAAATTAATTACGCTATGTTCTGAAACCGTACGTAAACCTATATATTCCTCGTTCCTCATCTGTTATCTTGTCTTTTGTCTCTTTTTCACCCTGTATGTGACAAAAAATAAAGAAAACTCTATAGATAGATTTCTGATGTAATACAATGAGAATTTTGTTCAGTTCTTTCGTTTTTTAAATGAACACGCTGTCTCGGCCTAATCTACCAAATAGTCCGTATGTGCTTTTTTAAGTGTGAATGAATTACTTTATTGATTTTTATGTTGATTTGTTGAAAAAAAGTGGTGACGTTTTCTTTTCTAGCTTCTCTCTCCCACTCTTACTCTCCTTATGTATCTCTCCATTTTTCATGCCTTTCTGCTTATTGATGAAATTTTCTCACTTGATTTGTTAAAAAAAGAGCTAATTAAATAAAGATGGTCACTTAGGGTTTTATTGTTGAAATGTTTTATGGATTCTGTTTCAACTTTGAATAAAATGTTATGGTAATATCGGTACTCATCCTGCTTACCTTTCGTTTTATTCCATAAAGGTTATCACACTTTCCCCCCCCTCTCCCTCTCCATATATATATATATATATACCTTCAATTAACTTATTGGTGTTTCACGTGTATTCATTTTTCTTAATAGGTGATTTATGGCTTCAGAAACCATTGGATTATGAACAAACATCAGCATACTTTCTAACTATCGAAGCACGTGATCGTGGTCAGCCTCCATTGAGTAGTACAGCTGTGTTAACTGTTCAAGTGGACGATGCTAATGATAATCAGCCACAATTTTTGGGTAGACAACGTATTCCAGAAAATATTGGTTTGAATAACCTGGATGGTCTGACGTCCATTGATTCAAATTTTTATGAATATTACTATTCATTCAGTGTAGTGGAGAATAGTCGTAATGGTACTGTTGTTGGCAAGGTAAGTTCTGTGAGAAAATGTAACAAGAGTTTTTTCTTGCAATAATACCGAATAGTAGTTAATGTTCCACAACCATAGACGAGGGCTGAATAGAAATAATATATCAGGAGGAAAGTTCCACAATTTTTGATATTAAAAAATAGTAATAAAAGGTCCCGTATGATAAAAATCTTTTCTATCAAATATACTACTGACTAACTTACTGGTCAAGTACATTTTCACGTACTTGGTCACACTGTTAATTTAAAGTTAATGGTACTACTCGGTTGTCCAAACCAAAGTAGGTGTAGCGGTGTTGGAGTTCGCTATTTAACGGCTAAAAGTAGGATATTTTTATTCATTGGGCCACAGGTTTATTGAATTACCTTGGATTAACATCACTTTTGATTAACACTGGAAAGCCTTGGTTGCATCAACACTAATTTTTAGACAGGTATTTCGTACATTTAATTCGATCTTATTTTATTAGTAAATAATGATCATTTTTCAGTCTATTTAATATAGATTATGAAGCTCAGCTCTTTACTTATTCATAAATCGTACTTTCAATACAATCTAATATTATACTTCTTGTTTACGACTATTTATTATAGCTGAATGCAATCGATCCAGATAGCGGTGATAACGGTCGTGTAAGCTTTCATCTGAGCGGAAATATTGATTTCTCTACTTTATTTAAAACCTATCAACAGGATTCAGAAAACATAGAATTTTTAACAGTTGCTGAAGCTAAGACACGTTTTAGTTTAGACTCAGAATCTGGCCGGTTAATACTAATCTTTCAACCTGATCGTGAAGCAGTCAGTGGTTATTGGTTAATGGTACAAGTTGAAGATCATGGAAAACCAATTCCTTTGTCTAGCCTAACATTAGTTTATGTGGAAATATTGGATATCAATGATTGTGCACCGACATTTGAAAAGTCTAACTATGAATTTTATGTTGAAGTAAGCTTTTTTCAAACCGTAATTAACTTAAATGATCAGATTTTACATGAAACAACAAATTCGTAATCTCCACCAAGTCGTCGTTCACAACATATATATCTTTATGCATGTTGTAGGAGTTTTGTCACATCGATGTGTGTATACGCCCACTTCTATTCTCATTTGCTTTAGTGATACAAATATTTAAAAATAAAGGAAACATCTTTCATGTATTGTAATTTCTAATGTTATTTTTTTAATGCTTTATAAAACATTGTATACTTTTCACTTAAACATATTCAATATTGTTTGTTAGTTGTTGCGTGATTTAATTTACCTAAAATCTTCATATTTTCTGGAAGAATTTATGGAACTGTTTCGCATTTATCTGAAAATAGAATATCATGTTGATATACGAATTTAAGAATTATACTACTGATATCTATTATGTTATTATAGTTAATGCGCTAATAAGGATATGTGTTACTCGTATGAAGTACTGTCTTCATAACTGACCAACACTAACTGAATTATCAGAAGGTCGGGAAGAAAATTAGTAGTGGCCAAATCAAGGCATGAGATTAACTTTTCAACTTATTATTGTTCCTGTGAGCCTCGTGTGCGAGTCGACTAGCTTCCCGTTCAGGGATTTAGAAATGCTTAAATTTACTGTGTTTTTTTTTAACTTAATGTGGAATCAATCACACTTGTTTTATAATGTACATTCATTCCTCTCTACCGATTCATATCCTTTATGATTATTTTGATATATTTCTCTTTTGCTTACCATTAAAACTGGGTAACAACTTGAACTGTTATGGTATATCATTATGACTGAGGTCCGTAGCGATTATCATTCCCCTTCATTTATGTAATCATTTGCAAAATGAAATTTGTTATCAACGTGTACAGTGTATGGTCTTTTATTGCACCAGAGTAATTTTTCAATACATTTAATCATTTGACGACGAACTGATGGTCAAAATATATAACATGCTATCTAGGTACTCTCAATTTTAAGTTGAACGTAGTTTGTCAAGTCACAATTTTGTTGAAATTTATTTTTAGAATAGTTATTTCTCATGACGAATAATAGTACATCTGAATGACCAACTCTCACCTGTAAAAATCATAGGTAGTTTAATAAAATTGTATTGCTAGTGGAGTCCTGTTATCATGAGGCCTAAATATAGTTTTGGGAACGTATCATACCCGTGTGTTTTTGTGTAATTTCAAATAATATAATTTATATAGTTCATATCACGGGATGATGTTATTTATACAACAATTGGAAGCTAAGAAGCAATGGACAGCTATTTTGACGTAATATGAGACTTCTTAGCGGCGCGAACTCTCATAGGGTCGTGGCTATGCACTGACAACGAGTCCCATTTTAAAACGAAATAGCTGTCCATTGCTTCTTAGCTTTCAATGGTTGCCTAACTATCATCAGTTCGTGATGTAAACTATGTAAATCAACCTCCTCAGCCCCTCTATACTGATAATTTACTTTTTATGTTTGATAGTTTTTTATAATTCTCGAGGATGGATATTTAAAAAAGAATGAAATTTTAACTGATCTTAACTGTTTCCCGTATTTTCCGTTGTAATAAATATTTAGGTTGATCGTTCCGGTAATATAAGTTCATGTTCTGAGAAACAAGTAAGTTATCGATTTATTGGTGTTATTGTTTTTCTAAGAAATTTTTCTTTAAATAGTAAACACATTTCGATTGAATGTATCTGTGTTCAATGATTATTTTTCACTTGCACTGCACGTTTAATTACATTAAATTCGTTAACCAATTTTAAAAAGATAAAAACTGAATTTTGATTTTGTGATCTCAGTCTATACAATCACAATGGAATCGAAATGTTTTTATTGTTATGTTTGCCAAATGACTTAGAACAAAACGCACAACATTTTCTTCGTCTTTCTCAATAAACTGTAATGGCACAGAGAATAAATATATGTGCATATATGTTAACTACCTTGTATTTCTCCATTCTGTCATAACTATTTTGATAAAATGAAATTTCGACTGTAAGTTATTTCAAACTACTCTAAGTTTCATAAAAGTATTGTTCTGTACTTTTTATCACTCTCTGCTTTTAAGTGTTAGCACTCCATATGATTGATTACTTACCAATGTTTATTCAGTATATGAATAAAGTGCTTATAAATTTCATCCTGTCTAAAGTTGTGTTGTTCTTTTGTAAATCACTGTTATACTCTTCGTCATTACTGAACAATGAAATAAACAGGTTATAGTCTATTTTATTTGAATAACTATTGTCAAATGATTAATAATCAAAATTATGTTAATGACCTTTTCATAATGGGCTCCAGTAAATTTTTTTTCATTCCATGCATGGTATTTATCACTGTGAACAACTGTTTCTTCCCATTTGAAATTAAAATAGAAAAAGGAAAGTTCTAATAAAACTCTACTATTTATTCCCTTCTCCTCTTCCTTCTTTTTCTGTTTACTTTCCTCTCATGTTCTATTCGGGTTAGTGAAATAAGTGAGGAAAAGTTTCTTTCTTCATTTATATTTTAATATGAATAAATGATTTTCACCATGACAGAAAAACAGCAACCATGATTCATGCATTCCTAATTGTCTAATTGTTTATCTCATTCATCGTTAGAAAGTATTCGGATTATCCCGTTTTAAGCATTTGAAGCAAAAGTTAATGAATTTGAGTTCCCAATAGGGTGAAACATTCGTCCTAGATTTTGTTGCTAGCCAAAATCTGTATATTCTATCAAGAAATCCTATTCGACTGTTATTCTTTGGATACAGTGAATAATAATTATTATTCCTGAAAGAAAAGTTCAAAACATGAGGACTGTTTCATTCAAAATCCCAAATAGTTCTTTGCATTGGTCAAACCAATCCTTAGTAGTTTTCCATAATCTTCGTACTTCCTATTTTGATCTTCAGCTCTATTTACTTTGCTGATATTTTTTGAAAACTTTGTACACATTGAGCTGATATTCCATATCTGGATCTGAAGTGAGTCAACTCAGTCAGTGATTGTATCTCATTTAAAACATGGGATGTTTGAACAAAAATTATTTTTCAATAGTGTTATAGTTATTCACTATTCTCATAAATCCATAAACATATTTCCATAGTTTAGATCACGAATTAATCTTAGCGAGACTATCGTTGAAAAAGTAAAATAACTGGACGGCCGTTTCGTCCTAGTATGGGACTCCTCAGCAGTGGGGCATTTTCTTCTTCATGGCTGGAGTATAACAGAAGCTCCCCTGAAGCTAGTCGTTGTTGTCCAACTTGCATCCAATGTGTTTCACTGATCCCAAGCACCTCTACCTTGTATCTCCTCATTTCTGCAGCAATCTGGAAGACTCTCCCAGTCTCCCACATTTTACGAGCATTCCATGTACCTAAATAAATGGTTGCTCTGGTTGTCAGAAGATGCATTGGCCTCGTGACTTCCGAAAGAACTCGGCTTTCACCATGAGGCGTCATAACTCTTCTAAATGAAGACCTTCTGACTCCCAGGACAAAGTTTAAAAGGTTTGAATAATTTTTTCCGGTTACCGTCTTTTTAGCGAGTTAGTTTCCTATGGAATTAGGTCGCTAACCCCATGCCCAACCCTCCTCCTTTATCCGGGCTTGGGACCGGTAGTAGCCCACGGAGGGGCTCTAGGCGGAGTTAGCCAACGCATTAAACACGTATTACACATCAAAAATGGTGGATTTAAATCCTCTACACCTTAAATACTTTCAGCAAACATTGTTATTAAAGTTTTAAGGTCATATATTAGGGATTAGGAAAGTTTTTTGGAAGTGGTGATGGTGAATTATAATTAGTAGGATCTGAAACATGGAAATACGATACGGAATATAAGGAATATTGTGCCTGCATTGTCGTTATTATATCACTTTAAAAACTGAATATACACTTTTTATAATGAGAGAGGGTTGAGCAAACATTAAAGCATTTGGGTCTAAAATTCTTTATCAACGGGATTAGGAATGGGGATGGCCTCTGATGCGTAGGTCGTGCCGAAGACTAACTATTTATACCTTCTTGCAGACATACATAGATGTATGCTTCTCTTTTTGGTACATTGTCTTACTTACTCCTGTTACCTTTCGTGGAGGAACATAGGCCACCTATCAGCATTCTGCATTGAACTCCGTCTTTGGAGATTCGATACATCATCTAGCTTATTATATAGAACCGAGAAAGCCTCCTCTACCCTGATTCATTGTCCATTAATTGTCAGATTAGGATGGGTGATGTTATTTAAAGACTTGATAACTCTCCTTCTTAATCATCCAAGTACTTACTCTATTTGATTTATGTAACTAAAGCAGTGTTCAAGAGCTAACTTTGTTTGGATACACAGTACTAAACGAAAGTGATGGTGAATGAATGAATTAAGCGATGTACAACCAATTATATATATACCCTTATAACAGTCTGTTGATGCATTTTCATACATGTATTCAAAAAATTTCAACCATTTTATCACTATTCAATCAATCAAATACCTCATAATCTTATTAAACACCACACTCGCCCACACATAAATAATCATTATGTACGTATCCATAAAAGTAGTGTGTTTGTTAATTAGGAAAAAGTATCAATATATCTTTCTTCACATTATTTACAGTAAAGAAAGTGCATCTTATTTGAATCAATAGTTTTTCATTTTACATATTTAACTCCATTATTTTTTGTTGTTGATAATCTTAACCAAATCTTCATCTCTTGGACAACTTTTAACCCTCTTATCGATATTTCCATTCAATTGTATGGTTAAAAATGTGGTCAACATCTTCGTGATTCGTTCAATTAAACTTTTTAACACGATATAGTTGAGTAGGGTTTTCAATGTTGAAAATTTTGTAAAATTTAAACGAAAGTTAATATTGTAAGTAGATATCAGATGAAGAATGATTTAAAGAAAGCTAGAGTTTAATTAACAGTTGTTTCTTTTTCATCCTAAAACTTCTCATCATTCCTTACATGAGGTCGAACCCAGGATCTTTAGATGTCATGCTGAACATAATACATTTTAAATCACTGACCTTAATTCCAATCGGGTGCATATTTTTGACTTTTAGTAATTTGTTGTATAGCTCAGTATCTTCAGTGAGTTACTGTCTCATCTGCAATTTCTTTAACTTTGTAGACAGTGAATTTCCATCAGAACATCTGGATTATACGTCTCATAGCTCGTCCTTTATAAAGACGTGAATATTATCACTTAACAATATACTTTGATTGCTGTACTAAAAGATCTTTTAGTTCTATGATGTCGACATTTTATTTGCCAAAAGTGTTGCTGTTTAGATTTTCTTATGAATATTAGTTTTATAATCTATTTATCAATCATTATGTGTACTTGCATTTCTGTTTGTTCCAACTACCGTTTGATTGTAGTGTTGATAGTTATCTATCTGTTTCAATAATATTCACTGACACAGATATCTCACCTTCATTAATCAACATGGATATCATTATGTTATCGATCGTCTGAAAGTTGTCCTTAGTGCCTGAAGAACATATTTTAGTCCTAAGATTGTATTTCTGTGAATAGGTATAAATAACATCTTACATTTTTATAATCACATCCGTCAACCGAATGGGAATATTTTCTTTCATACTGGAGTTTCTAATTGGAACTCCAGCTTAGCATGCACTAATGACTTTGATCGTCTACTGTATGGTATTCACTAAAATGACTGTTCACGATAATGTTATTATTAAGCAGCACATGACTTGATTGATTTGATCATTAATTTAATTAAGTACATACATATATCATTCCTTAGGATACCTGAATTGTGTAACATATTTTGTTATGTGATTGGCATATTTTCCACTTTCTTTAGTTATCATTTGAGGTTGTTGTTATTTTTTTCAACAAACGAAAAACAACCGATGTGCTATATGTATATATGTGGCTATTCTCTTGTTATCCTGTAATTTTTTCTTTAATTAAACATCTTTTGAATGTTCTCAAGTGATTTTAATTAACGACTTTTGTGAAGAATATGTATTTATCTGTCTCTCGGTGTTTTTATGCATTTGTGTTTAAAACTAATTTATTTCAATTGTGAGAAAATTTAAAGTAGTTAATTGTGGAAGACATGTATTTGTGAAATCAAATTTTAAAATATACGAATCAGCATTGTGAAGTAGTTATTAGAATTGCTGTTTTTACGTATTACGAAACCTAATTCTCGCTTTCCATATATATAAGGATGATGTTTTAATTACATAATTTGTGAAAGTAGAGAGGTATCTAACCTACAAATCTTTACATGCTTTCGTAGTTTTCCACAAAATTTTAAGCTTTGTTTATTTCTATTTTGTTTATTATAGAATTCATATGAAAATAATTGTCAGTCTACTACCGGTAGCAGTGGGAATGTTCTCATTGGTCGGCTCAAGTTGACAGATTCTGATGCCCATCCAAATTCTGGTCCATTTACATGTCACTTAGCTAATTCTGGTATTATCCAAACTGTTCTACATGATTCATTATCATCATCAAGATCAAGTGCTACATCACTCATTACTTCTACTACTGGTAGTAGTAGTAGTACCAGTCTATTTTCTGTTCGATCTACAGAAGTGAGAATTCATACATCTAATTCAAATAAAAATGATCATCTCAACAATCAGACAGATTTTAGTAGAGGAGAATGTTTACTCTATGCTATTGACAAATTACCTGTAAGTTAATAATAACTATAATTGGAACTGTTGATAATTCTTCCTTAAACTTTATTAAGTCATAATAATTTTATTTTCCTAACGCTTATCATACATCCATAAAAACAATAGTTTATGACTACACACATTTCTTTTTACCTCTTATAGTTTCAAATAATTTCTTAGTAATCTTTGAATCTAACCATTCCTATATATTTGAATTGACATTGGTTAGAAAACAATCGAAAATCAGGAAACTTTGAATATTCGTTTCATCCTTGTTGCAAAGCTCGCAAACCTGCTTAACTTAATGTTTGCATTTGGCTTTAAATTCATGACTTACCTTTAATAATTAAAACGATCATTCTCTGAAAAGATTTACTTGAAATACTTCCATAGTTCACACACTTCGAGAAAATTCGATGTTATGTGACACGGATCCTCAATAATGAATAAATGTTGATAGGTTTGTGCAAGAACAAAGACTTTATTGGTTTACTCACTTGCAATTGTTTTATTCACAAATATCCCTTAATCTATGGTAATTTAATTTGCGAAATAATTATCTCCAAACTACATTGGTAACTCTTCTTTCTTAACACTATGATGATACCATTCAAAACACCTAATGTGAATACTCAGCAATTATTGATATTCTCAACGCTCTCTGTGTGTTTGTTTTATGTGCTTTTATATACCTGTTATATGTATGTGGACTATTTGCTTATTAACATGGATTATGTACGATTCTTTCTATAATTTGAAATTTACATAAGAATACTTTCTGTTACATCATAGGTTGGTAGTCAAAGTTTAGTGATCCGAGCCAATGATAATGGTTTAACTGCACTACATACAACAACTACGGTCACTGTTCGTATCATCCGGATGTCTAATCTACCACCAGAGATTGTCAATACAAATTCTACATTGATTTATTATCGTAGTTTACACGATTGGAATGAGAATTATTTTCATGAGTCATCTTCGAAACAAGATATCTCTGAGCAAATTTCTGATAAAACTATATGTCGTATAACAGTAAAAGACCGTACAGCACATGATCGGTTATTTTTTGAATTATTAAAAGATAACACATCCATGTCAAATTTATTCTCTGTCGACCAATATGACGGAACTATACGTCCTGCTATGAAAATATCTTCTAATTCCGATACAAGTCGCTCTAATCTATATGATACATCAACTTCTTCACGTAAACCTATATTGAACCGATTTCATAATTCGCTAATTCATCTTGACTCTGGCAATTATCCATTGCGTGTACGTGTTACAAATGGTACGCTTACTTCTGAAGCAACAATGCATATTAAAGTAAGTTGTCATATGTATTCAACAAAATGATTTTGTTTCTCTGTGTGTGTACACATTTTGTAGTTTGATGATGATCATGTAAATAAAAAATAATCCTTATTATTGCTTTAATTTTTTCGTTTATAAACATTCCATGACAATTAATACTGCAGTGCGATTGATTCACTAACCAACTTGTAGATTAAAATTTCTTTTATTAGATTATCTTTACAAAATGTAAAAAGGGAGCATTACGTTAGTTTTGTAATCATCCGAGAAAACTGTTAAGTTCTGTTTTGATTTTCAATATTCCTTCAATTCACATCATTAATCAGTTTCTAAGAATCTGACAATTTTGGTACTATTCCAGTATATAACGGATAATCGTCTGCACAAATACTCGCAACAGTAATATTTATGATTTAATAAAATCTATTTACATCAGACTATTAAAATTAATCATTCAGATGAACTACTTGACTTTTATCGATATCTAAGTACATTAGTTTTTTTTTTGTTCAAAATTATTTATTTTCAGCTTACTCTCTTTTGTTCTAAATACGTTACACAATCTTGTATAAATTTCTCTTTGAATTCTGTTTCTCATTAAGTAATTTGGCTGATATTTGATGTTGAATATCTTTCTATTTAGGTTATCCAACGTTTCTTTTTCTAGAAAATAAATAGATAAATATTTCATTTTGATTAAAATCTAATCTAAGAAGTTTGATTGACATATTGTTCTTGCACATCGATAGATTTATCATGCTTCAACAAGTCAATCACTTCAAGATCATCATCGTCTTATTTATGCCCTTTTCTACGTAGATAAATCCACTTAATTAATCCCTATAAATTTATTTATAACTCTATTGATATACTTAGTTCATTGGTTGGTTGATTAGTTTCTTCATGATTAATTTCCTTTCTTTCTCCTCTGTTTTCTTTGCTTTTCTTTTTTCTACCTCATGGATTTCTTTTTGTGTTTTTTCTAGTCCACAAAGGCTATGTCAATAGCTGATTCCATTTTCGATCTGAAGTTGGTTGTAAATGTATATAAGTATTATATACTAAGTATACATATATATAATTTTTCAGTTTTACAAGTAATTTAAAAGTTTGCGTGTTCAATATTCTAATTTAACATTTTTACTTTTCCGATAATTTTTTTTTACTAATGTATGTGCTTTTTAATGTTTCTCCAAAAAAAAATTAATTGAAAAGTTCAAGGATTCTATCAATAATAAGTTTAAAAAATATATCTCAACATCATAATAGTCAATGTGATCAATTATCATGAAGATTTTTACTTCTATTATTTTCTGAAGTGATGACTTTCAACCAGTAAGTTATAGGTCCAAACCCTGCTTTGGTTTTACTAGTTGGATAGTAGTATTATTGGCCTTCATTTTAATAATGTGACTCAAAGTAAATATATGTAGGTGAGCTATGATGAATTATCCATTGGTACTGTTAGATGACGGCTCAATGGTTTAACTGCTTACAAGTTCTTTAACTCAATTTAGTTCAGTTTAGACAGCTAAGTTGTATCACCGGTTCTCCGGACACACAGACACACAAAATTTCTAATTTTATGCTGAGTATATAAACATGTACTTTGTAAATAAGTTACATTATTTATCAGTCTTAATATCGATTCATCAGCTTTTATTATCATTACTTACCGATATACCTAAGTCATTGACAGGCATATGTGCATGCTTACTACGTGAACGATCTAATCTGTACATGTTACTAACTGGAATATAAATAATTTAGTGATCATACAAAATTCTATTGTAAATCATTAATCTGTTCGTCTTCCATAGACGCAAGAACGAAAGGCGTTGATATAATACGGATTATTTTTTTAAAATAACATATCGGATTTTGGAAAACGCTTGTCATAGAAGTTGACCTATCATTTATTTTATCAGTTCGTTCAAATTATTCGTTTTAATAAATCATACAGTGTAATAGACAAGTATTTTTTTTGTATTTATTAGATTCAGATATTCTAAGACTCTAGTTCATCTGATTAGTTGTTGTTTCTTTCTAAAAAAAAGGAACAAAATAAACAACTAGTTACTTATTTTGTTATTTATCGCGTTCAGAGTTTGTTTTTAGAATTTTATTTTCATATCACGTAAAATGTAATAATTCTTATCTGATTTACTAATTTCTAATTAGTCATTCATTTTTATACTGGAAATTAAAATTATTTGTTTATCTGTGTATTTATGAAGTACTGCTGTGCAGTTTATAGATATATGGTCTATTTTGACTGACTAGTCAGTTGAAGTGATAAAGAGTGTAAAAACTGGTTTATAGGTGTAATCATAAATGTCAACATGGTTGGGTGCACTTCACTTTTACAAATCATCCATATAATTGTTATAACTGTTATTATGAAATTAGGTTAAATAGCGATATCGTCTTTTTGCATTTACCTACATTGCATTATTCTATATTGGAGTGCTGATATTTGCTGAACAGTGCTAATAACGACAATAATGATTCAATTTAAACTTTCATTTTCCATGTAAAATGTACATGTTCAGTATTAACCAGGATTTGTTTCATATTATTTGTTGCATACAATTACAGTGCTGGTGTTGTGAGAAAGAATACTATTCGACCATTCGAAATTGTCTGTATCATTCTGTTTTTAAACCAGCATTACCGAGGCTAATCAAGCCAGAAGTCTGGTTCCCAAATGTAATTACTGTGAAAAATCACAGTCAAATTTAACAGCAGAATGTGAACCTAATTAAAAAAATTTATGTTAACCATATATAATTTATAATCAATGGAAAACTAACAAACAGCTATATGATACTGGATACCTGTTCATAGTCCTAGGTTACGTTGATACACTTAATTTTCTTCAGTAAATTGTACAAGATTTCTAAAAAATATTCTTATAAGATTAATAAATACAAAATGTCTTACTGTAAATTGCAGTGCTCATCATATATAGTCATAAAACGAACAATTAAAAAGTATGTATTATCAAAATGATCCTAACTAAGATCAGTCAGTGATTTAATCTATAAAACTTTAGGTTTCCACAAAACCTCTATATTAATAATTTTTTGTTAAATACTGAATGATACCAAAACCTTGACTCTCTCGCTACTTTCAAATACTATAATTCATCTATTAACTTCAATTGTAATGCATATATAATATGAATATATAAGACAGGGTTTATTCATAACATGATTGCTTATGATTTTCGGCCGCAACAATCTTACTAGAACAAACCTTTCACTCATTTTCGATCTACGATTAATCGATCTACTAAGTGTATCAGGCTATTTCTCTTTGTTTATTCATAAAAGACCTCTCTCTCTTTAAATGTTGATAAGACTTTATCAAATGAGACTTGGACGATAAGTATTTACATTCTTTTTAAAGCTTTTAGTTGAATGTTTGGTTATAGTATACTATAGTATAGGGACACGTCAGTTCTGAACCAATCAGATAATAGCTTCTGTAATAGATAACTTTTTGGAAAAGAATACAATGATATTATTAAGTGTATACAGATTTTACACATTTAGTGAATCTATTAAAGTCTTTGCAAGTTAATCTGCCAGTGAATTGAAGAAACAATGACATCGAAATTCGTCTTTATGGACAGATTGTCCTTGCTTCCCGAACCTTTAAAAATGGTCTTGATGAGTTTTTAAGAATTCCCATACTGCTCTTGATTAGGGTAAGTATTTGCAGTTTAAAGTTACAATTTTCGTTACAAACTGACATAAGCTGAAATGCGAAAATTCTCTTTAGTCAAATAAATCGATGGATTTCGCGTGAAAACACAAGAGGTGCTATCTGACAAGTTTGTCTACAAAATATAGTCCCACTAGATTAAGGCTTGTTTCAGTATTAACTGTTTAGGTTTTGATTTAAAAGTTGCGTCGATTCGCTTGTTACATACAATGTTCATGGTCACAAATGAGCATTTAATACATTTAGCACTATTATTTTCACTCTGTGATGGTAATCCCAACTACTTTAAACGCTATGAACAGGATAAGTATGACATTTTAGTTTCATGAAAAAGTCTGAAAGTTGTACTCTCGATTCTGATTAACTTCGTTCAAATGCTTTTTTGTTTTAACAAAAAATTTGTAATTTTTTTATTGCTTTTTCTTTAAACTCATCATTTCAGGTGATAGCGATAACTGAAGAAATGCTTGACTCATCGTTGGTAATTCGAATTTCAAATCTACTACCAAATTTATTTTATATGGAAAATTATAATACTGTTTTACAAAATCATTTATCTAATCTACTTTTAGAGTCAAGTTCATCGTATTTTTCACCATCCAGTTCAACAATCTTATCACCAAAGAATAATTCATCACAAGATGAGAATGTTTATATTCTTTCTGTACAAGAAACAGATTTTCCGAATCGTCTTAATTCTTTGTCATCTTCATCTAATGTTTATCATCAGAAAAATGCATTTATGGATTCACACCGTAACAAACGTAGTATTGATAGAGCTGTTGATATACTGATCGCAGTATATGATCCTAAAGAAAGAGAATTTATTAAACCATTTAAAATCGCTCAAGCTATCAATGGAATAGCTGATAGTTTATCTGTGGAATTCGGAGGAGAAATTGAAGCTGTCCATGATGTTTGTACACCACAGGTTAATTAGTTTATTTTAAAATTTATACTATTCCATTTTCTTACCTGTGTGTTTGGGTAATTGATTTATATTGTCTCATAGTAGATTTCAGTCTTCATTAAAATGCGAAGCATAACACTCGACCTGTGTACGCATAATCTGATCTTGTATTCGGTCATCGACAGCTCGAAGAAGACTAACTTCAACCTCATTTTGTTGTTATAGTTTACACCATCTTAGTTAAATAATTATGGAAAAATAGGATGGACTAAAGATTTGTTTTGACCTAGTATTGAACTCCACAGTCTCACCAGCGGTTGAATTCATGAGATTCAGTTCTCATAGTGAACAAAACGCTTAAACAACTGAACCAACATCTTAAAGTTTACATGTTTAACTTCAATTAATTCACGATATTGCGCAACCGTCTTTCAATGTAATTAGCGGGTAAATGTTTTTGTTTTTCTACTATCTACTAACCGTTCTGCACGAAAGTCAATTTTTAATAGCTTGAACTTGTGACTTAATGATAGTATCTACCTAATCTTCCTAGCCTTTATTCATTCCAAAAGATACTGATTAATTCCAGTCCTCAATATCAACAGTAAGAAGATTCAAATGATCAAAATGTAACTAGGGTTAAACTCTGTCTATTTCATTGGATTTTTCTAATTATTCGTTTATATGCAGACATAAATAGAAAAAATCGTAACAATATAAACTATATGTTTGATAAAATCTTTCTATCAGTTCATCCATCTATCCTTAGCTAAGTGTTTACACTTTTTAATGACCGATTTCTTAAAGTATTTTATAGTATTTAAATATTTGTAATTATTCCATGAATACAATTGTATCGTCTGAATGTTTTTTTCTATCATACTTTTTCAATCAGTGATCATGTAGCTTTTTAATATTAAACTAAATAAATTTTTAATACATTTTCTCAAGTACAACAAAAGTTTTGACTTGTGGAAATGCATTATTTTCAAATATTCAGAATCCATTATTCTGTCTATCTGATTGCATGTCTTGTTTTTCTTTTTTTACGATACAATGTGGAATCATATCATTGTGATTTTCTGTTCTCTTTAACATGTATTAATAGGACTTAAAGAAAAGCTCATTTCTTTTGATTCGTATGTGTAATGCATAAGTCTAATAAATAATGTCAATTTTTTTTTAGAAAAACATACAAAGCTTGGTATATTATACTTGATTTTGTGATATCCGAGAGAGAGAGAGAGAGAAAATATGTTCACGTGTATATATATATATATATATATATATATATATATATATATATAAAAGTAACTAGAGTTATATTTAACTAAACAGATTATCATTCTAACAGTGTATAGCGATGTCATAATGTATATTCATTTGGTAAGTTTCCATCGGTATTGTTCAATGAAGTGTAGAAATGTCACATTTTAACTTAAGTAATTGTATTCTAAACAGTTACCGCTAATAGTTTATAGTTCATGTTTTTCTGCAATATCTTTAAACCGACATAAAGAATGCTATTTCATCTTAATAGGCATTTGACTGGATTTTTGCTACGACATTTATAAATTTTTAATTTGTTTCCGATAAAATATTTCATGATCAACAATCCATTATCATTGTACGTACCGGTCTATTTCACTTTAAAGGTGTGGAGCTTCTGTGGAAACACTAGTATTTATTTAAATTGAATCCTGTCCAGTTTCTGTCGTTATTGAACTGAATAATTACCAAATGTCAGTCAAAAATGCTAAAATAACCTTATCTTAAATTGAATAGTCAGTAAATTAACCAGTAGTACTGTATATATAGGGAGTTTGTGAACAATTTTTAAGTAAGTGTAATAAAATCAACCATGCATTAAAGATCCATTCATCAATGCGTTATATCTCACTTTATAGGATTCAGTTAGTTTAAAACTTGTTAAATATACTTCTTTTTCAACCATATATACCTTCTATTTTTAGTTTTGCCCTCACGGTCGTTGTCATACAAAAGTTAGTATTGATCCGAATGGTCTCATGAATCGTATTGAAGTGCATCGTGTAAATCAAGTATCACCTCGATTTGTGCTATCGCCTGTTTGCCAATGTCCGATACATTTTACTGGTTTACTTTGCAATACACCGACTGATGCTTGTGCACTGGCCAATTGTCCTGCCTCTCGATTATGTATTCCACATGGTTTAAATGACTATTCGTGTATTTGTCCACCGCCCCGCACCGGTCCCAATTGTGAATCACTTTTAATTTACGGTGATGGTAGGGATGATTGCCATTCGGAATCGTGTTTTAATCAAAGAGGTAAAATAAATAAATGTTATGGTTCAAGATTTTATTTTCTATTTCATCTTATTTACATGTTATCGACTGGTCGATAATTTAGTGTTGATCAATCTTATTTTAATCCAGTATTTTTTGTGCTCGTCGAATTCTATCGATCAAGTTGCAGTTTGGCCACTGGTCTAATTGATTGTGTTCTATGTTAAGACGTTAAGTGAGATAGTCGAAATGCGACCATGAACCTAGGTTTCATGTTAGTTAGCACTGGTCAGTGAAGCATACCTCTAATCTTGTGGAAATTGATTTCTACGCGATTCGAACTTGGGTAGTTGCTGGCACTATATCAGACTCATATGGGTTATTCTAGCTTCCGGCCAGACCTATTTATTCATTCTTCTTAAGTCACCTTTGACTTGGTTAATTATCCGCTTATTAATCCTGACTATTTTTATATGAGCGTATGCGTATGCATTGCTAATCCTACTCATCACATCTGTAGTTTACTTTCGTTTGAATATAAACGTTAAGTCACGCTTTATCAAGACAAGTTGGCTCCTTGCCTTCTTCGCTTCTCTTCCCACTCCCCTCTTCGTTTCTCTGATTATTCGAATCAACAAGTGTACGAAATATACGTATTCAAAATTCATTCTCACATTTGACTTCTTTAATTCTATCATTCGCCAACGCGATTTAAGTTGGTAATCATGTACGAGGAGAGCCGGCATGTATATTTCGATAAAATCATCACACGATCAAATTCAAGTCAGATTAGGGCCTACACCTGCTTCACCTAGTTTGATTGCCTGAGATTTTAACACTGAGCTATTCATGCTGCGAATGACTTCCTGTAGGACTAAGATATTTACAACTGATTGATCGCTATTTAGCGATCAACGTCATGTTTTTCTAGTCTTTTATAACTGATCAAATAATAGTCAGTCCAATTCTGGCATTATAGATTAAAGGTTTATCAATGTTTGCTAGTATACATGCATCGTATACGAATTCCATCGATACAGCCATTTTTTACTATTAATTTACTCTAAATGTATAATTGGTAGTGGTTTGAAATCCGTCCCAAATTTATCAAAATCGATATAGCTATCGTTTACTGAAATTCTCAACTTCAAAATTTTTGTAACGAATAGTAAATGTTTTGTTAGCAATAATTAGGAAAAGTTTTAGATAACATTTCAGTAATCAGTTACTAATTGTGTGATAGGTTGATTAAAAAATGAAATAGTTGAAACACTTCTTTGAACGTTCGAACTTAAGGATTATGATTGAATTTTCTGAATTGTGTAAATATTTGATAATAAGTGGGCTTTACTGTGTCTACTGATTTCACATTCTTACTTCATTTTCAAAAATACCAATGGGTAAAAATCTATGAAATAAAATGTAACTCATCATAATTGATGATGAATCACAGTCTAATTGAGAAGGTTATCGATGCTACCCAGTTGTTCAAAATCGAAGTCAGCGAAGTGGGTCTCGAGCCTCGAATTTTGTGGGTGAAAGTAAAACGCCTTAACCACTGACCCATTGCTCTAGCAATTAGAGGAATGATCCTTATGATTATTGTTTGGATTTCAACCATCTTTTTTTTGTTGAGAATAATTGGGTTTTATGATATTGTTTTGATTTGTTTAGAAAATGGACCATTACAGTTTACTGGTGGGACATTTATTCATTGGGAATTTGTAAATCCTAATCCATTTTTTATGGAGTTGAAATTTTCTTTTCGAACTCGACAAACAAATGGACCTTTAGTATTTATACGTTGGTCATCATTAAGAACTTTTCAAATAAGATTAACGGATGGTGGACATTTGGTGATTTCTGCTTCTGGTTTATCTAATGGTTTACCAATAACTGATTGGTTAGTATCTAATGTATCAATCGCCGATGGTCACTGGCACCGTGTACGATTTGTTTTGACAGTGTTAAATTCCAATAAAGCAACCCATGTTGATGCCTTATTTCATGATGCATTAATAGAAGGTAATTTTACAAACTTGTTTATGTTTATTATCGCCATCTCAAAATAAGTAAAGTTAATTAAATAATCACTGTTGTAAACCTTACAGATTTTATTTTAAACAGTACTTACATTTTGATAGTTAGTACTAAGTAAAGCGAGTAAATAGGACTGAATAATCATACAAACTCAGAAAACACTGGACAGCATTTTCGTTCTAGTTCTAAACTTTTCAACGGGTAAAATCAGCAATTTTTCATAGGATGGATCTCTCAACCTTCAAGCTTTGTAATATGTAAGATAAATTTAGAAGGATTGGTCAAAATTCAATAATCCACAATTGTCAACTTCAGTGAACTTGTAATATTGCACAATCCTCATTTAATAACATCGGTGAGTTGCTCACTGCTTATTTGATTTAAGCTTTGATTACTAATGACTATGCCAAATTTTGAACTATGAACAACCTAGAACTATACATCTCCCAAATTACATTGTTTCATGCTGTACAGCCTCAGATCTAGTTTTAACATCTGTTAAACGAATCATTTGTTGCTGATCTCGTTTTGTTCTTTTTTTCACCGTAAGATTCAAAAATGAAATTAAATTCTTGGAATTCCAATTCAGATTGGTGGGTTGAACTAACTGTCAATGGAATCAATCCTCAATCTGCTTCAATCAACTGGAGTCCAGGTGATTCATATCAACAAGGAATTCTAGTTGGAGCAGATCTAGTACATGGATTTCGTCCTTTGAGTGAACCGTACAAATTAACAACTATCAACACAGCTCCCAAAAGTAATTCATTTCTTAATTCAACAAACTCATCGCCGATTATCTTCCGATCTGGAATTGTTGGTAAGGAAATAATAAATAAATCAATTTCTAAACTTCATCTATTTAAAACTTGATCACTACTTTCATACATGACGTTTCAACTTTTAGATTGGAGAAAGCAGCGGTTAAATTACTAAACACATGATCTTTGATGTTTACGCCATAGCGTGTTTTGCTAAAGATAGAGAGTCATTGTACTGTACCGCGATAAACAGTATCGCTTTTTCTTACATATGACCTGTTTCAACATAGGGATAGCTGCTTTGCTGGTAATCAGAAAGAATTAATTTGATAAGACGAATATAACAGAAACCATAGAATAGTGCTTTTCTGTTAATGGTAATCGACAAAACGTAACCTGTGAATGTAATTTTAATTCGTATTATTCCGTATCATCTTTATCTGAGTTTCAGATAGGAATTGTTAATTCTGGCCATTGGATAAATCGTTGTGTCAGTTTTTTATTCCTTAGTTACTTTCCTTTCCTCATGTCAAAGGAAATCTTCAGTATTCAATACTTGTTGAAAATTCTCGACAAGTTTATTCACAAATACTCATTGATTAACATTCTTTCTCATTATAGGCTGTTTTCGTGATTTTACTATTAATCATATCAAACCACCTTATCAAATCAATTTGGCTCCTAAACACTCTGAAAGTTTTCGTGGTTTCTCTTCAAACCCATCTGTATTAATTGTAAGGACACATAAATTAGATTACGGTTGTCAACCTATTATGACAATATCTGGATCTTGTGCATCTGGGCCGTGTTTACATGGTGGAACTTGTGTAACTGGTTCAAAACAATCATCTAGCAGTTCATCTTATATATGCGATTGCCCTTCATTATTTCATGGGAGACATTGTGAACGAACTAATGATGCTTGTCTACTTGCACCATGTTACAATGGTGGAAGGTAAATCTTCACGTTATTCTGTTTAAAATTTATTGTGATTCTCTACATTATAACGTACTACATTTCCACATCTGAAACGTCATATGATAAGAATTCTAAGTAGTGCTACATATCATTCATAACCCATTGAAAGTATCATTTGGTTAAAGAAATAAGTGGTATTTATTGTGTGTTTGAGAGTGGATCGATAATGCAACTCTGCCAATTGACTCATTAGTTTTCATATCACAAACGTAAGACTAAAATGAAGTATTTTAAAAATAAATGGTAATGTAATCGTCCACATAGATTTCTCAAATATTGGAGATTGTTTTTTTTCAATGACCAATAATGTTTATTTAAGAAGCCAGCAGTAAACAACTGATCTACAGAAGATAACTAGCAAATTGAAAAACATGAATTTTATATCATTCAGCAAAGTATGAAACGGTACCCCTCACCCTATAATAATCTTTAACAATTAGATTGTATACTCTACCAAGAGTACAGTAGAGTAGCTTAGTAGCTATTGACGTTTTAACTATGAATTAATCAATCCGTCAGCATAATGTTTAGAGAACTCTGTCTAAGTGTTGAAGTTCACTATTTACTGAAGGTTATGAATTTTAAAAGTAATAACCTATTATATTGTATCATCCTTACTGGCAAATATTCCAGTTATCGTTAACATTCAACTTCATATGTAATAAACCGCTATCCTTTATTATCATTCTATTATTTATTTATTTATTTGAACACATAAATATTGGTACAAGAGAGCGCCAATATATATGCGCCACACAAAACAATGAGAATTCGAAGAGAAATAGAAAAAAAACTAAGGAGCGCAAAAAAAAGAGAACAATAACGAAGAGATTGGTGTAAGGTGGTGTATAATAATGGTAAAGGGAACGGAAAGGTACAATCAGAAGAAATCTTTCAGGTAAGGAGACACAACCACTTTTTATGAAGAAAGTAAAAGAAGGTTACAGCAGGATCGCCACTGGCTTCTATTCTGAGCCATATCTGATAACGTCTCTAGCCACTGTGTAGCACCATCTCTCGGACCCCAACCAGGGAGTCGTGAAGGACCAACACAAGCCAGTCCTTTGCAGCTTTCTTTCATGCCACGACACCATGTCATGCACTGACCACCTCTCCGCTTCTTCCAACCAGTCCCAGAGTCGGCAAATAATGCACGACGTGGAATTCTCTGGGACGACATTCGTAGAACATGTCCAAGCCACCGAAGTCGGTGTTTCAAGATGGTGACACCAATTGATTATCATCTCTGTGCCCGAACACACGATGCCGAACCTCTGCATTACTGACATGGTGTTGCCACTGAATGTCAGCAATCCTTCGGAGACAGCGATGATCGAACACAGAGAGTCGTCTAACGTCCTCAACTCGGAGAGGCCAGGTTTCACAAGCATAGAGCAAAACTGCTCTCACCGACGCGTTGTAGATCCGACCTTTTACAGCCAGACTAACATCACGAAGGCGCCAAAGGTGGCCCAGATTGGCATAAGCCGCTCTGGCTTTCACTATTCGTGCATTGATCTCATCACTCACACCCCCACCAGCACTTATGCAGCTACCCAGATACACGAACTTCTCGACTACGTCTATCTGCTCACCATCCAGGGTGAGTACAGGATTAGAATCCTGCCAGTCTTGTAGAAGTACTTTGCACTTCGAAGGTGCAAAGCACATACCATACCTACGGACACTGATTGCCAACTGATTAAGTGCGGATTGCATGCCTTGGGCATTATCGCACAGTAAGACAATATCGTCCGCATACTCAAGGTCGAGAAGTCTTTCTCCAGGCAACAGATCCACACCACCATTACTTACATTCATCAGAGCTGTTTCCAGAATGTCATCGATGGCAAAGTTGAAGAGGAATGGTGAGATTGGGCAACCCTGCCTAACCCCACTGCTCGAATGGAACAATGGAGAGAGGTGGTTGTATGCCCTCACTCTGCCTGAGGTGTTTTTATATAGGGCTTTTAGGATGTTAATAAACTTCTCAGGCACACCCTTCTTCAATAGACAATCCCAGAGAACAGTCCTGTCCAACGAATCGAAGGCAGCCCTGATGTCAAGAAACACTACGATTGTTGGCCTTTGATAAGTATGGCGGTGTTCTAACATTTGGCGGAGGGTGAAGATATGATCAATACATCCTCGACCAGAACGAAACCCAGCCTGCTCCTCGCGAGTCAATCTTTCTCGGGTTTTGAACAACCTACGAAGTATGACGGAAGCCAATAGCTTGGACGCAATCGGAAGTAGACTTATCCCCCGATAGTTGTTACAGGAACGACGTGAACCCTTTTTAAAGATAGGGACAACTATCGACTCATTCCATGACGTTGGTACACACTCTAGTTCCCAAACCTTTGTAAACAACGTCGTCAATTCCTTAGTCAAAAAGTCACCACCATCTTTAAAAAGAGCCGGAGGTAAGTCATCTGGGCCAGGTGATTTGTAACGCTTCAAGAGTTGGAGTTCCTTGCGGACTTCCTCCTCATTTGGTGGATCAGTCGTCACCGGCCATGGAGGGCAGGACAGTCTGACCGATGTTGCCGGAGCAGCAGGCCAGTTGAACTGCCCTTCGAAAAATTCTGCCCATCGTCCAAGACGTCGATGGATGTTAGTGATTGGCATCCCATCATCCTCGCAGATTGTTTCACTCACACCAGACTTCTTGCTGCCAGTGGCTCGGATGAGCTGGAAGAGCTTCCGGTAGTTACCAGATGCAGCTGCTGCTTCCAGCTCATTAGCACGCATCGACCACCAGGCTTCTCGGTCCTTACGCAAGCTTTGCCCAATTTCCTTACGTAACATCCTTCGTTTATGGTCAAACTCACGGTCACCCGGAGTAGACCGACGGGCTTCAATGAGTTGTAAGGAACCAGAAGAAACCCAGTGCTTAAAGCGGGACGTTTCGCAAACCCACAACTGACTGTTCCCGCCATTTTCATGGCGTCATGCAATTGCAACCAATGCTCATCTATACTTTTCGGTGGAGTGGTAGCTAGCCTAGAGGCTAGCTCGGTTCGATACTTACTTGCAACAGAAGTTGCAACCAGCTTGCTAACATCAATCCGTTGATGGCGGTCACTTCGTTGTCCACTGAAAAGTAAGGTAAGATTGGCGCAGACCAAGGCATGGTCAGAGTCCAGATAGGTACTCCAAAAGGAGCGGCAGTCTTGTACACAACCACGCCAGCGGTAGCTGATCGCGATGTGATCAATCTGAGTCCAGGCTTGAGATGCAGAGGGAGGACGCCAGGTGGCACATCGGCGATGACTGTGCCGAAAGTTAGTGCTAGCCAGAAACAGGTTGTGGTCTGTGCAAAGTTGCAGTAGACGGTCCCCGTTATCTGACCTGCGACCAACGAGTCCCCATCGGCCACCTAAACGACTCTCTTCTGTGCCTAGACGCCCGACCTGAGCATTCAAGTCTCCGGCTAGTACTACAAGGGTGCACGTGGTTTCAGAAAAACTGCTTCAGTACTCATATTCAGTGGTAGCATACAATTTTCAACCGGACAGTGACTCGAGAACGTTTAGATACAGTCGAATTTCCACCAAAGACGAGCCGCTGTATAAGTATAAAAGAGGGTGAATAATGTAAATAATAATAATAATAATAATAATAATAATAATAATAATAATAATAATAATAATAATAATAATAATTTGATTGTTAGTTGAAACAAGTAAAGTAGTTTCCATATTTATAGGCAGTGCATCATATTTGTGTGTGGGCTGTGATACTGCTCGGGTGCCCAAACCGAAGCAGGTGGTTACCTTAGGGGGCCACACCCTGAGCCTTTGACCTAAAGGTCTAACCCACAAGGCGGTGGAGCATCGTAAGGAAATGCAATCCCATGGTAGCCGGTGACCAACGATTGGTTCATACGCCATTTGTTCCTTCAGGATACTGGAGCCTATGTGCACCATTGGTTTGGGATCCGGTTAGAACGCCGAACATTCGCTTTTCGTCCTCTCAATTTCGTAAACAACACCCCCGCCACGAGAAGGCAGTGAGTAGGACTTCCCTGGCAGAGGCTGTATACACGTGGCCGTGTGAGAGTATTTCGAGAGGGAGAACGGTCTATCCCCACTCTCGGCCATACCAGGGCATTGGGGGCTGTTATCCTTCTAGTTTTCGCTAACAATCGTGATCGAATCAGTTCACCTAAGTCGTTCTAATCCATTTTACTAGCTAAGACTAAAGTTGTTCAGATGCATACACGATATATTATTATAGTTTTTCGTGTAATTTTTGTATTCTGTTGTATATATTTACAGACTTAATGACTTTCATAGATCATTTTATTTTATTTACTAATTTTTTGGGTTCAATTCTTAATTAACAATAAGCCTTAAAATATTTACTGAACACCTTTTTTTATATTTTATACAGTTGTCAAGCTCTCATAACATCAAGTATATCCAAAACACCTGCACATTCTGGTTTAGCTGCTTATCGTTGTATTTGTCCAGCTGGTTTATCTGGTTTACATTGTGAAATTGTACACCCGGAAATTATATCACAAACTTCATTGTTAAGTAAACCATTAGAGAAAAGTGGTTCAACAATTCAATCTGGTATTACTTGTCATACAGCACAATTAATTCTACAACAGGATATATTGAATAAAATACAACCGGTAACCAGTTCTAATTTTCGTTATGCCTTTTCGATACCTTCATCGAATATAAATCAAGATTCACGAGAATTGGTTTGTTTACATAATGGTTCGTGTTTGGATTCGTCTAGTGGTCCACAGTGTATTTGTCCTTCAGGTTGGCAAGGAGCACGTTGTGAATATGATGTTGATGAATGTCAAGTGGTGAAAAGTATCTATTCAAGTGATTTACATCAATCACCACCCTATATCAAATGGTTAGAAAACCGCGCCAGTTCTAAAGGAGGTTTATGTAGTCCATACAGTTCTGGACGAGGTGTATGTTTTAACACTCCTGGTTCATATAAATGCAATTGTTCAGTCGGTTTTTCTGGTCAGCATTGTCAATCAAAGGTAAGCTGTAAATTTTTTCAAACATTTCAACTTGGAAGTAAGATGCACTAAATTGAAGTTTATATAAATTTCAGTACTTCAATATCTTCTACAAAGCTATGATTCACGGATTGTTGCTCACAGTTGATTTATGACCAGCCAATATATGAAATATTACATTATATTGATCAGTATACTAAACACTTAAGGTAACAAAATGAAGGAATGTCCCGTGAAAAGATTATGCTTTTTAGAATCAGATCAGTTCTGTACTGTAATGTATGTCTCATGTAATTTCCATCCACTGGAAACAATAAGTAACTTTTTTCGCCAAAACTAAAGCCTACTTTTTTTCTTGTAATCTGTTGCCTAGGTTAATTATAAGAAATAACAGAATCACTTTTCCACTGCTGAATTTGTATACTTCTTCTGATGAGTATTGTTTTTCTCTTTTTTTCTTTTTAAGAATTTGATCCCGTTGATTCCTGATACCACCGTTCTTGGACTCAATCAATTTCATATTTATATCACCGTTGGCCTTTTAGCATTTCTTTTTCTGGCTGCATTGGCTACAATAGTATTGCTGGCGTGTCGAGCTCGCGGTATGATTGGTGGAACATTGGATGGAAATCGACGATCTGTTAAATCAGTCAGTTCATATTGGCCTAATGGGGGAATCAACAAACGAAACCTACATCTCGTTTATCAGACTCTCGATTAAATCATTTAAGTCATTCTGCTGGTGGAAGTTTATCTGGTATACCATTTGTTGCTGCTAGTCCAGCACATTTAAATCATGCTAGTCATATTGGTACACATCCTAGGTATCATATGATATCTACAAGTCATCGTCGCCCCTCTCTAGCCTCGACGACGTTCGGTTATCCAGTCGCAATGGATGAAAGTGCAACCGCTCTACTGAACAGCAACTCGGGACAAATGCCATTTTCTTCAGAATCCGTCAAACTTGGTGGAAATTGTAATGCCGGTGCCACGTTGGCAGACTTTGGGGATCGTGACGATTCTGTTTCTGCCTGTAATTCTGGATTAGTGCTGTATCCAACTGGCGTTAAAGATCAAATCCCAGTGATGATGATGCTTTCTCCCCTTCCTGGTGCACATGGATCAGTGGGCCCTGGTAACCGAGCTAGTGTAATTGCACGCTACTCACCTGCTTCTTCAGTTATCTTCTATGGGCCAGGTGTTCCCTCTGGTTCTGCAACGCCTACAAATCAGATCCATTCCCCTCAACCAGGTTTTTGTGTCGATTCGTCAGGTTCCGGCTATATTTCTCAACGTCAATGCTTCACTGGTTCTCAGGTAGCCGTGTATCCATCAGGACATCCTGCATTTTTACCTCATCCTCAGTCTCACCAACAGCTTATTCAAATGGTCAACATGCGTCCGAATTCTGTAGTAGGTTCTGATCGTTTATCTCTTGGTTCAGGTAGTGACCGATTTTCTGCTCATAGTAGCCAGGTTCTAGTGCAACCTAACTGTACTGGTCCTATGCCTTACCCGAATTGTCCTCAGTCTCAAGCTTTAACACCTCAGTTATACTACCATCAACCATCAACACCTCAAAACCAAACATGGACACCACATTTATCAAATACAGGGCACAATCAACCTGGTTTGTTGATTATAAATCAAAATCATGATGATTCTAACTTGGAAGATGCATGTATGACACTAAAACCCCAGAGTACTGACACTGTCAAAGCTGTTGATGTAAACAAAGTCCAATCGCCTATGAAAAGTCAGTCAACTTGTGATAACCAAACACCTGAACCAACCAGCAATAATAACCGGAAGGAACTCAACCAACGACCAGTTCCTGCCAGCATCCAGCATACTACAAGTGCATTTGTTTTACAAGGGCGACAATATTCTGGGAGGCAACAAAATAATCATGGTAAATACTGTTAATTTTCTTCTCTCGGTTTTTACACACATAAATGTATTGGTTTAATTTTTATCCTAATCAAGCTTTTTTTCCTTTCCTCTATTTCTAATTAAAGCTTTCAATTTATTGCATGCTCTATATCCATGTTGTCCTCAATCACACCCTATTTCCAATGCATGTTTTAATCAAAATTCAAATCATATTTGCGGAATAGCTGATCGAACAGCGTGCACAGGATATGCATTTAACAATTTTCATCCTTTTGGTATACACCAAGCAATTCCTGTCATTCAGAATACACCCATTTTACCATTCATGTTTTCGCGTCAGTCGGTCAATTTAGATTCTATGCCTGCTTATCCACCGATTCCAGAAAATGCATCGACTATTGAAAGGGATGTACTAAATTCGGAATCATTATTTCACCTTCCAGATTCATGCCCTGTTTTAAACGATGATAGTTCCCAACTGGAATCTATGCGCTGGCCTTCCACTCAGAATAGTACCTTATTAATCCGTGACTCACTTGGTGGCTATCATCAATCATCATTTTCAGTGATACCGAATTCCAAAGACCGACACTTATAGGTGCTTCATCACGTGGATTCCATCACCGCCCGACACTGGATAAAAGAACTATTGGTGTCGCTTCTCGTCGTACACGCCAACCTCGAAAAATTATGAAATTTAGCACAATCGAACTGCCTCCACCAGCATCTAGGCCACAATCAGCTCATTTACTTGGCTTGCATGTAACCTCGAAGTCAGGAAATGGATATATTACAAATCCAAAATCAGGTTTGTTTCAACAGCATCAGTGTGCCCTCCAAGCATCTCATCGTTATTTTGTGTGTATATGTGTGCTTAGATGTGCAATATATTGCTTTCACCTATAGTGCTTGCTTTCTGTTGCTACAACTCTTTTTCAAATCTATCGCTTACTTAAATTTTTTTCTCTTGAAGAAGCCCATTCTAATTCTGGAATACGAAATACTATTATTGTGGAGACAAATGGTTGTGTAAACGGTTCACGGGTAGTGGGTGATCCTAGCCCTTCTCCTACACATTTATCAAATAATTTTGCAAAGGTTGGATCCATTCATACCATATCAACTTCTGAACATGTTAATAATTCACAAAACAATAAAACTAACAAAGACGGTGGCGCTGCTCAAGATCAGATTCCAAACAATTTGGATTGGTTTGGTAATGAGTCAGGCTTTCATCCACTTCTCTCAAGCAATATCTGCAATTCTTTAGAATTAAATGGAAATTACAAAGAATCTCAGATAAAAACCGTAAGATTTTATCTTAGTGTAGTCGATACATTATTATTATTATTATTATTATTATTATTATTATTATTATTATTATTATTATTATCTATTTGTGCATAGATATTTTGCTGTATTTTCTTTAGATGTTGACGAATTGCTATATCTTCATTTTCGTCACTTTTTTAAATAGAAATATTTCGATAATTTTATTTAATATATGTTTGCTCTGTTTATAGAAAAAACCAGAGACTAGCAAAGTTTTTTACCAGTGCTTTTTATTGTCCGATCCCAAGCATGATTTCTTGAAACTGATGAATAAGTCTTACTTGATTAGCATTCTTTCAACTTCATTTCCTTCATTTTGTAGCACTTTCTAAATAAATTGTTGTTCGGAACTGCTTTCTATCATTCCACACTTGTTCTTATTTGTAGGTCGAACATTGTGTCACCAAGATTTTAAAATTTCTGTATCACTCCATCTCAGATATCAGGTTAAATACTGATAACTTTTTAAATTACTAGACTTAATCGGATCTGATTTATGAGACTATCCATTTATTTTTTAATGTGTTTAATAAATCTATAGACGTCTTCATATTCATAAAGTATCCCTATATGTACCATAATTAGTTCAGATTAGTATAAGACAGTCCGACTTTGTTGTAGGTACGTTGACTTTATCTGCTACACTACCATTTATACTTATCACACCTAGTTACTGACTGTTTCAAACAGTTCACTACACAGAGTGAATTCTGGCACAGACTGCAGATAAACTTGAGTAAGAGTTTTACTTTTCAATAGTACAGAGGATATGCCATACTTGTTGACGCTTGTCGATTAAGTGTCATTCTGATAGTCTATATATCATTACATAATAGAAAAATTTCATCAAGTTCTGAATGTCTTTCCTATTTAACAGATCTACATTATTCTCAGGATGTCATAGATGGAAAACTTAAAAGGAAGTGGTAAAATCGAAAAATCCTATCTAATATTACCACTGATTAGAAAGAGTTCAGATATATGTTTATATAACAACATTCAACACAAGTTATTTTTGTACAGAGCATTGAAGAAATTAGTAAATATATTGGACACACCGTTCCTCACTAAACAATCGGCCTATAGTTTGTGCTATCTAAAATATCAGTATTTGAGTTTCTATGAATGATCGACTGTGGATCAATTTCAGATTATTTATAAATTGTTGACATTTAATATTATGGGCTTTCATTGACACTCCACCCCCACCCTCACAACTAGTATAATCTTAGAGTAGTTTTTCAACTATATATCTGAGATCTCTATCACCTACCAGATATTCTAATACATGGTTAGCTAGAAAAAAGAGTAATAGAGATGCTTTTTAAGATAAATAAGACAGATTAGACAGTAGTTTTTTAATCTACATCAAAATTGATTGTATTGTTCACTTTATATTTTCTGCCCTAAATTCTTTTGTAATACATATAGTGTGTGTATGTAAGTAGACACTATTTGACGACCAGCATTATTTAATGTATATAATAATGATTAGTTTAGTGTCTACTATTCACAATGTCCAATTTGTTAACGTACCGTTGTTAAAATGATCTAAAAGGTGTACCATATTTCTTGTTTTGTCTCTCGCTAATTATCGACTATTTTTGATGTTTTTTCTCTTGAAATTTCGCATTTATTACTAATGTTATAGTGATAATTATCATTATTATTTGTAAGCTACCAAACTAGTTTGTTTGTTTGTTGTTGTTGTTGTTGTTGTTGTACATGGATAGTATTTATTCCTGAGAAAAAAAGACTTACTGTTGTTTCTTTCTTTTAATTATTTTTCTTTTTTTAAAGAATGAGAAGTCAGATACAACAGTAACTTCGGAAGTCTCCAAAAAATCATTGACCAATGGTCAAACAACAATAATGATACCAACGACAACAAAACAACAATTATCTTCGAATGTTGTAAATAATTTAATTCAAGATACAAAACATATGGCACACATAAATGATGTGTAACAATTGATTTCTTCTCCATTTATTGTTCTTTTCAAACCATTTGCCTCTGTTTTTATGATATAATTATGTATTTTAAAGAATTCAAACGAATAGGTTACTATATTCTGGTGTTTATTAAAATGTTTATCAATGAAAAGAATAAACATTTCTTTTCTGCTGATGTCTTTGCGAACATATATTTTATCGTCTTTTATTCATAAATTCATCATATACCTGTACAAAATGTACGAAATAAGATTAGTAAAATGAATCGGTGATAAAGATTTGTGCTACCGGTGCTACTTTTTATTTATCAGGTGTGCACAAGTTAATGTGTCTCTTTGTGTGCTTTTTATGGAAGTGAACTTATGCATTTCTGTTGATTCGCTCTTTCTTCCTCTCTCCATCTATCTATCTTTTCAATGTAATCTACCTCGCTAATATATCAACTGATTTTCATGTTTTCTCTCGTTTATATGTTTTCTTCTTATCGTCCTTTTTCTCACTGCTGTTGTTATTATTGTTGTTGCAATTTCTACGTGTGATTATTTTACTCGTTATCATCAACGATATATATATATATATATATATATATATATATATATATATATATATATATATATATATATATATATATATTGCACAACATTTGTTTATAAATGTTAATCACAGTAATCTCATTCTTTTTTCAACGATCTCAAAATAACAAGAATTTCTTTCTCTTTATATCAGCATACCGAAGATCATCACTATTTAGTCAGTTTATTGTATTATAAATTTTAATGTGAACAAGAGTTTCTTTTTAAGCTGACTTATTACATTAAATAAATAAATCGATGTGATTTCTGATTCTCTCTCTTCATGTGTTTTCTTTTATTTCTCCTACCAAACTGTTATTAGTTATCGAATGTACTCATGCTACTTATTAATCATAATTATGGAATGTACAACCGGTTCATTGAAAATCTTTAAAGTTTCTTTTAAAAATCAATCCTCTATATCTGTTTGTCTGACTGATTATTCAAAACAAAGGGAAAAAGTTATTTTTTTTCTTCTGTTGTATTATGAGTTTCCTATTAACAGGTTTTAACTGTATTAATCTTCATTTTATTAAAATTGCTTATTTAGTAATTTACTTTTGAATTCATATCAATGCATAGATTTTGTATTTTGTTTTTATCCTCGTCCCTCCCTCCTGTTTCACTCACTCACATAAACTCTTCTATGTACGTCTTCAAGGACTTAGTTTTATCTATCAACTTTCACCTTTCTCAATTTTTTTTACTACTCCTTAGTTTATTTGCTTGTTCATTAGTTTTCCCTTTTCAATGGGACATCGTGATATCAATACTAAATCTGTGTTTTGTATGTGAATGTAAACACTAATTCTGAAAGTTTTAAATACTACTTTTATCAATTTTATGTGTCATTTATATACATTCATATTGTCAATCAGAATACTAGGTTCTATTATAACTTATTATTATTAATGCATAATTGTTGTTTTCTTCCTATTTACTTCAATATGTAATGCGTTTTAGTAGGGTAAATACAATTCACATTTAATTAGGAAAGATTTCATTTAAATGTGCAGTAATTTCAACAATATTTGTGAATATTGACTATAGATAGGTTATATTCTGACTGTTTAGAAATAGATTGATTACTGCACTAATCTACATATCGACACTGTAAAGTTATGGGGATTGTTCGCTAATTTAGTTGGGTTTTCATTACGAACCGTTTTTTCATCCATCAGTATAAGAAAAGATTTTGGCTATAAGTTTATTTGTATACTTTGATTATTATTTTGGTCAGAGTGTTGGTGAAAATGTTGAATCCGTGATGTAAAATAAATCAGTATGGTACAATCTTTGGTTGATGTGAAATTCGTATCGGAAAGTAGCACTGTAGGATACCAGCTTCTGTTATTATTATTGTCGAGAGAATGAGAGCGTTATGATAAATAGATAATGGGAAGTCTTATGGATTAACAGCTGATTAAGGAATCTTTTGGTTAATAATAAATAATCTAGATATCAAACTAAACGAAACCTAAATAAGTCAAAGCCCATTAAAATCACTCAGAATTATTTTTGTCGTATAAAACTACTAATCCTACTGATCTCTTATTCTCTTTTCTCATTTCCCTTTATAACGAGAGACTAGCATCAATTAAGCTTTTATTATTGCCGGTTTGTTTGTATATCGATGAGTAAATGATCGATTTTCTTGCCAAAAAACTCGTTAGCAAACTCGCTTAGTTTCAGCTTCCGAAGTTGCCTGAAATTTTAAAAATACTCCTCATTTATCACTATAAAATTAATGGCACAAAATATGGAGCAATAAAATGAAATCATATATGTTCAAAGCTGTAGGAGGTAGGTATCCCCACTTTGAATTCGGCTGCTAAGTAAGACTACCCAGTATTACTTCCTACGACCTAAAGATCTAAGTGCCCCCAAATTCCCTGGTACGGCCGAGAGTGGGGACAGTCCGCTCTCCCTCTCTGAACGCTCCCACATGGTCACGAGTGTATAGCCTCTGCCAGGGAAGTCCTACTCACTGCCTTCTCGTGGCGGGGTGTTGTTCACGAACTTGAGAGGACGAAAGGCGAATGTTTGGCGATTTACCCTGGTTGGTGGACATGGTGAGTCAACCTAGAGGAGTTGGAAAACCCTGATTCCAAACCAATGATGCACATGGGCTCCAGTATCCTGAAGGAACAAATGGCGTATGAACCAATCGTTGGTCACCGGCTTCCATGGGACTGCATCTCCCTACAATGCTCCACTACCTTGTGGATCAGACCTTCAGGTCGAAGGCTCGGGGAGTGGCCCCCTAAGATAACCACCTGGTTCGGTTCGGGAACCGGGTAGTGTCACAGCCCTCACACATGTCAAATGAGATTTTTGTGGCGCATATCTATTTGGTGCCTCCTTGTACCAATATCTATGTGTTCAATAATAATAATAATAATAATAATAATAAAGTACTTCTGACCCACATACCAAGAGACAGTACAAAACCGATGATCGAACAAGAGGACTTACAGAACAATATAATTTACACGATCCAGAGAAGACATCGAGACAAGAGTAATTGAGCAGCATTAAACTAGTGTGTGTGTTATTGTCCAATCGATATGCAACCAATTAGTGTAAGCTTGGTGCGCACCTCATACTGTAGAGAATAACGAAGTTCTGTCTGTTTTATCCCCGAATCAGAAGAGAGCTAATGGTTTGCTAGCGAATCTCTAAACTATTGACTTAATTTCCATGCGATGAATTAAAGCTAGTATTAACAGGTCATTTCCATGATAGACCTTTTGAGACTCTAGAAGCAGTGTTCTTCAGTAACGTTTTGGGATTAATAGTATATGTTTATAACAGAGGTTATAAAAGGTTTTGTATTATGAATAAAGTTGGTATTGTTGTTTCTAGAATCCATGCGTCATCGTCACCGACTGCTACATGTGTTTCACTTAACTCTTTCGCTAAAACCATTATAACGATGACATCTAGACAACCAATCAGATGAAAAATGGTGTCTACATAATTGTGGATAAAATTCAGAGCATAGTGAATGATACCATGTGCATTATTAAAAGATATGTAGAACTTTTATATAATGAGCTTTTATAATACCTAAAAATATGAAAAATAATCTGTGTGATTACATGGTGAATATGATACTATCCGAAAGTCAAATGACAAGTTCTACCGACGGAAATTGTACTTAAGATTACATTTTTCTGAGCATAATCAAGTGTTTTCGCGAATAAATAGTATTCTAAAACTATTATCATATATTTTAGCTCTGACGCTTCTAACGCTTACACTCTTATTTTAAACTCTTAACCTTAAGTCATGACTATGGCTTAGCTTCCAATCCTTAATCCTGCGAGATTCGTTTAACATGTTGATACAGTTTTCCTATCATAGTTTCACCACCCTTGCTTCGTAATTGATCAGTGTTTTTATTGGCGGACTCAAGGTGGCACAAGACAATAGCTAGCTTGGATTTGAAATTACCGCTTCTTAGTTTCAGAGAACCTGAGCTGCCTATTTACAAAAATAATTTTATCGACAGTTATGTATCTCAACACTAAAAATTTAGGCATCTTTAAAGGCTAAAAGCTTCCTCACCAAACTAATGTTCTGTTTTATATTCATCAGTAAATCATAATCTTTGATAGTACTGTCCTACCATCTAGTGTAGTAATTTACCATGAAATCGTTTAAATGAACGTATACGCTATAAAAATAAAAGTTTGAATGTGATCACGAACTCCTGTGCTTATTTTTCGCAATTGCAACATATACCGTGATAACACATAAAACTCGCGGTAACGCCTTGAACTAGCGTTTACTTTGTCTTTACATTTGTCGCTACAAAGTAGTTTTGCCATACCTTTCTTATTTTGAATGACACTTTCTTTTTCCATAACTTTTGGCCTACAAAGATATCTATCTAGTTTACTTTTGGGTTACTGATGTCAAAAACAGATATTGTGAGATTCTTTTTGAAAGTTTTGTGCATAGAAATCCCCCACATACACACTGTTGTAGTCCATTTTTCGTTATTCATTCAGATGTATAGTTTATTGCTCTTTTGATTCCCTTAGAGATGATACTACTTGTATCTTATTTAAGTTTGTGCTTTCTTTACGTCTTCACTTGATCTTCATGTTTTTTCTTAAAATACATCTACATAGTTTTTGTCGATATTTGGTCATGGTGGCTGCCATATTGATTCACTTCCCTCCTTGAATTTGTTGCTTGTATTTGACTGGAACGGTTCATTTTTGATTGTAAATTGTATTGTAAACACTCAGGGTCATTGAATGAATAAATATTATATTACGGAAATTCTGCACGTGATCTATCCAGAAAGGATAGAATAAGTCATTGCACTGGTAGGAATATATACTTGTTGCACATGGCAGTTGTCTTATATCGTCTACCAATATATTTACTTTATGTAATTTAGATTTGACTGCTGTCTGAACAATTATTGGTTGAATAGACCGGTGTTAATCTTAGTTTAGGTAATAATATACACTTATAATGAGATTTAGAATCGTCATTTACTCATTTGCCTTGTTTCGGTTTCAACTAAACGACAGAGCGGATCTTAACTAACCTAAACAGTTATTCATCACACCAAACATTCTACTTGAAAGCTACAGTTCTAAACAAGTATTTTGACATTGAACGAAATCATTTAACCATACTACCTTTTCTAGAGTTTCTCCGCAAAATGTTTTTGGATTGGTATTATCTGTGTTGTATTTTAAGATCCTGCTTTTCCCCTCGTATATTTTGGTGCCTACTGATGTGGAGGCTGCCTCTACACTAGTTGTATTCGTCTGCATTTGTTCGTGTGTATAGGATAGAAGGACCAGGTCATCTGTGAAGTTCAAATCATCTGGTTGCATGCAAGCTGTTCATCGTATTCCGTGCCTTCCCTCAGATGTCGAGGTCTTCATAATCCAGTCAACTACCAGAAGAAAGATAAACAGGGAGAGTAAGCAGCTTCGTCTGACTCAGATCTGCACTTGGAGACATGAAAACAAACAAAGACACTAAGCGTAATAAAGAATAGGATCTTCTGTAACTTTGGTGTCGGTGGGGCACACATCAACACTAATGAGAATATTCTAAAGCTCAGCACCATCATAATGTCGACGGTTTTAGACTCTCTAAGCAAACCTGAGTTTCCTATTGCGGGCTCCATAAACGCGACTGTGGGCCCTCAAAACTCTATAGCTGACTATACCCCTGTCAACAAAGCCAAAAAGGATCGAGGTTCACCGTCAAAAAGCTGAACAGACCAGGTTTTACAGTGAAATCAGCTAGTGATTTGGCCGTGTAATCTACCCCTAAGATTGTCCAACCAGTCAACAAAGAGTATAGGAATCCGAAACACATCTTAACTGCCAAACAAGAAGGACCCCAACCTCAACGTACCCGAAAACCTGGGAAACAATCACGTTCCTCGGTGTTTCACTCATAATCGGAGACCTTGAAGACAGCTTTGACCTTCCTATCAGTCTGCTGGACAAAAGTGATAGAATGCTCTGGGAAGAGATGAACAGGAAACTCAAACTTCACAGAATTGAGCCACTAAAGGTCACATGGTTCATATGAGGGAAGGAATTTAAGCACCAAAATCAGCCACGACTTCGTGTAGCATTCACCAACATTGCCAATGTAGAAGATGTTCTACTGGCTGCTCACCTACTGAACTGTCAAGGGGATATAAGAATACAGTCTTATATGCCATATTCTGAGTGCAGTTTCATCAGGAACATCTTTAAGGAAGTTCGCGATATGTTCTTTCTCAGAAGAAATATAATTGTGCTAGGTGTGCCAGAAAACATGGATCCTGACACCACATACTTCGATACTCTGGAGTGAAAATTCCAAAATCATTCTTTGAGGCTAAAGAACATATTGACTCAACAAGTGGTGAAGGAAAACCGGGGTTGGCTAATGAAGATAACCTTACCGTCCTTCCAGATGGCGGCTGCTACTCTCGAAGAATTTTGTGCTAACAGACTCCACATGTATCCGGACGGGCCACATGACCCAAGGATCAATCACAAAAACACGTTGGAGCTGATTATTTCACTCGTGAACTGTCGGGATCGTGAAAAAATGTAAAATGGACAGATGCTATCGACTCGGAAAACCTTGTACAAGTAGATTGCCCGCTCCTTGACATAAGGCTTATTCAGATAGACAGGACGATGAGACTCGTTTCAAATTAAGAGCATAAGCTGTCTGTATATTAATGCAGTGAGTTTGCCGGATCAGGTAATTGGGTTTCGTGAACTCAATAATGCTAATAATGCTCATCTTATAGGAATATATGAAACATGGATATCCTCTCAATTTACGGACCAATGCACAATATGTTTTTTTCGCAGTGACAAAATAACAGGAACGGGGGCAGAGTAGCCTTATACTTGCTATCTTGCCTGGAGGTACATCAGGTGCACAACCAAGAGTTTATCAACCTTGAGGAATCCGCATGATGCTTAGTTAGATTTTTAAACACATCGAGGTGTCTAGTTGGAGTTATCTACAGGAAGCACACTACTGACAATGATTGCGACGACTGTATGTTGGAAGGATTATCCCACTCCACTCTCCTCTGCTACACTCATGTTCTGATTCTAGGAGAATTCAACCTTCATAAAGTCAACTTCTATGAACATACATAAATTAAAGGTCACAACTCTATTGAAGCTCGGTTTTTCAGCCTCATTAGAGATCTCGGATTGTTCGAAAATGACAAGTCACCAACTCGCTACAGAAACAGTCGGACACCGTCGCTCTTAGACTGCATCTACAAATAAAGAATTCCTAATTGACAACGTCTCCTCCTGGTAAAACTGGTCATATCGCCATAGCCTTCAATCTCATCAGCAAAACTGGGCTAAGACATCTCACGGACAACAGGTGCTGGAATTTCAAACGGTTGAATGTGTCAGCTTTTCAGGACAATCTACAGCAAGGGGACTGATAAGTTCTCTCTCAACTTGACGTGGAAGATCATTAATATTTCTTACTGCGTATCATCTTATGTGCTATTGTTGGAGAGATCCTCAAAATTCCTCGAAAAAAGTCAAAAGGCTCTGAAAACGGCGAGAAACATCTTACCTAATCACCATTCAATGGAAGTTTCCCCAGAAACACCTAGAAGATGAAAAGTCACATGTTGCGCTTCTGATTGGATAATTACCCACACTGCTATTATGTATAGTGGAGTTCCGGAATTTTCCGGAAGCCGAAGGTCATCTAATTTGCTATAAATACCCTAGATTTCCTGTACATAAACGAACCTTGGAGTAAAGAGTTTCTTCCATATTTCGCGCCTTTACTCTCGTGTTCAGGTCGCTGAGTAGGTTTAGCCTGGTGGTTAATAGAAGAGCTTAGGAACGGAATCCAGGGTTCAATTAGAGGACTTATCAGCCTTAAAGAAATCTCTTCCGTAAACGGTCCTCCAAAACCTACAGTCATCAAGGATCGCACTCTTCGTTTGCTAGGCCGCAAAAGGCACTACTGTTCATAATACAAACGAACTGGTAACAATCAAGGAAACAGCCGATCCAAACAAACAAGGAACCAATGCACAAAGTCAATAAGAGAAAACAAACCTCAATACAAGATAAAAAGAGTCGATAAATTTGTATCCAATCCAAAAAGGTTATTCCGTCATCCAGCCTCTTTTCTACAAGCCAAAACCGGAGTTTCCCAACTACTAGGTCCTAAAAGCCAAATCAACAACAATGGTGACGCCAACTGCCTTCTAGCAAAACAGTACTGTCGGACATTTCAACCAGCCCATGCTAATTATATTGATGAGAGCCTCACCTGCAACTCAATGGAACTCTCAGGAGTGAACCTGAGTCTGACTTTGTGTAACGGAAACTGCAGCACCTAAACAAGGATACTTCACCCGGCCCTAATGTGGTCCTTCCTGCTACACTGAGGAGAGATGTTTCAATCTCGGCAACACCGCTTAGCGTGATACTCTCACATTCGCTAAGACGAGACAAATTACCAGAAAATTGGGAGCTGGCTCACACCACACCAATTATCAAGGGAGGTGAACGCAGCGAACGTTCAAGCTATAGGTCAGCAACAATTCTGGCGATACCTTTAAAAATTATTGAGTCCTTGATAAGCGATGGTCAACGTGACTGTTTACTATCCATAAACTTCTTTTCACCCCAACAGCATGGCTTCAGAGAAGGACAATCTTGTATAACTGACCTGCTGACCATGGTAGATAGATGGACAACTATCCTTGATAGTAAGGGGAAGATTGATGTCATATATCTTGACTTCTCAAAAGTTTGTGATTGGGTCAGTAATATATGCTTTGTCAGTAATCTCAAACGATTAGGAATCGAATCACCTCTGGTTGATTCACTCCATATCTAGAAAATCGGCACTTTAAGGTCAGGCTATGTGACGTCTTGGTGGGGCCCCTCAGGGCTCAGTACTCGGATCTCTTCTTTTCTTGATTTCAATTTTTTAAGTTCCTTGAGCAAAAACTACCAAATACGAAGCCGAAGACAAGTGAAATCGAAAGGTCCAAAGCCAGAAATATAAAAAACAAGTTCAGAAGTCCAGTAAAACCAATACATTTAAAAACAGTGAAATTATTAATATTCAGTGTAACAGTTTTAAATCAGTCAAATGTCCCCTCTTTTCCAACGACACCAATCACTGAATCTTTACCCTTTATATCACAGACATCTTAGAGGTGGCTTCCAAATGACTTACAATTTCCTAAACACTTCTGAGCATCTCCTTAAACACCTACTTAGGCGTAGTCCCGACACAAACCTTAGGCGTAACACCCCTAAACTGAAGATCCAAAAAATCAGAAGGGAATGTAGGCACATCTTCTATTCCTTAATAGTAGTTAAATTGTGAAGTTTGCTGCCGGCTGAGCTAGACCATGAGACTTTCCGGGAGTACTTTAAGAGAAGACATTGTTAAGGACTATGGACAGTGTCTCATTATAATTTACCCTTTTTTATCGCTGAATTTACCTGAAGGAATTGGCGATCCACCGCTTCTTAATACGGAGGTCCGTTAAGCGAAAGCTTCTATCTCGTCTAGAACCGCTTGAACCATTTGAATCGATAAAAATCTATATCAACGAAATTGTGAAATAAGGACAATCTAGTAATGAGAATCGGAAGTTATCAGTCGAGATTTTGAACGCATTATTGCAGGATTAACCACAGAATTAAATTGTCTTCTAATACAATAGTTTAGTTATTGGAATTTGGTTTCTTACTTTCAGTGTGATAACCTTAAGAGCGTAGTTTGACCTTTCGACGTTACTTTATATGGACTTAGGAGTTACACTTTTGCAATGGGTGACTTGATGAAATTTGTTCGACAGCAGTTCTTTGATAACAACTGGACTAAATCTATTGACCCTGATTCTCTTAATGAAGAAAAACTGGAATGTATCGATGCCTCTTTCAGTCATATGGATGTAAAATCAAAGTTGTGTTTACTCTTAGCTTTCAGCAACATGAAACAAAGTACAGTACAGCAGGTTTGTAATGATCGTTATCAAGTATCTTCTCCGTTATCTTGTCTACGTTTATCACGTTGTACCATATTTAGTTTTTTATACAATGCCTGCGAGTGTTTTGTGTACTGAGACATCATTAAATCCGTCGTATGATATATTCGTCTCTCGTTAACTGAAAAAATATTCATTCTTTTTAAGTCCTTCATTTGTTCACCCATTTATGATGGGATGTTGAAAGTTCTTATTCAGATGCGTCCGGTTGTTTTGTCAGTATGGACCAATTGTTTGTCAGGTCCAACATTTTTTTTTGGCTAAAAATATAGAGTATCACTGTTGGTCCAAATATGATCAAACCGCTGAAGCTAGGGATATCCTTACTCGCCTTATGTAATATAACGGTTTATTTTGCTAATGTCCTTCAGGGTTTTCTAAGGTGATTGTAGGAATGTTGATCCTTTTTGGGGCTAATCAAAATGCAAGTGGTGCAAATGAGTTATTAAGTGCGGAAAGACTGGGTAATGTATACATAGCTTCTGCATGGGCAATAATTTTACGAACGTTCTCACGCGCTATTTAAAAAGGACAGTGGTATTTTTCCTCACTGAGTAAATTTCTTTGTTTTGATCGTTTATTACCTATCAGAACTACTGTTTTCACTTTAATTGAATTTATTTAAGTTAAAGTATTCGACTAGAGTATCGTTTTTACAGTTCCCTCAATTAGTTTTGTCGTTGGTACTCTTGAGTACCTCTTTTTCAACTGTATCTGTTAGTACTTTTGGTCCTAGCAATCTACAGCTCTTCACTTTTTTGGTCATTGATTATTTTTTTGTTTCTGAGTATTATCGCATCTTGAAAAAGAACCCCTCCTAAATGACCGGACAGTGTAAAAAAAGCAATTGCCAGCGTCCGGGTTGTCGTTATCCTGTTGAAAGCGGCATGCAGTGCGACGAGTGCAAAGGCTGGTACCACGAAGTTTGCACGAACTTAACGCCTGCTGCTTTCAAACGGTTCAGTAAGAAGGGTTGTGTATGGCTTTGTCAACAGTGCTGCTCGGATGCAAACAGCTTGTTAACCGAGGCCATCTCACTGGTTGATGCTGCAAAGAAGTGTTTTAGCAAGCATAGTCGGAACGCGTCAAACAGCACTCGATCTGTCGACACGCAAATCAATGTGAAGGAAACTAAGGTTAGTCCGATGATAGGTGACTCACGCCCGTCAAAGAAGGAAAAGCAGCCTCCAAAGAGGCCTGCCTTAAACAAAAGCTCAAGAAAAGTAGGGTCTTCTGTTCCCCGTCTCACAGATGGGATCCAACAGGAAACACCTAGAAACAGCAATCGCAAGGCTCGATCGGTTTCAAGCGGTAAACATAACCCGACCTCTCAGGTCGTCGACAACCCCCCAAAATTCAACACTAGGTTTGACGCAACGGTTATTGCTTCTACCAGCACCGTTGACGAATGGGTACAGGTTGTAAGGAAGAAAAGTAGGGTTATAAAAGGGAACCCTGCCCCCGTAAAAGTAGTTGTAAAATCGAAAGCTGATCATAGCGACAGATCAGCTATTTTTCATAGAACCAAGGAGAGCGAGAGCTCTGAACCTAAAGCTCGTTTTGAGCATGACATTGTACTGATTAGGCAGCTGCTTAATCAACTCATGCCTCAAAATATGACCGGGGTCACCTTGCTAAAGGTGTACAGACTAGGGAGTCTAGCGGACTCGAAACCAAATCATTCCAGACTGCTTAAAGTAGTATTCGGCTCTTCGAACGAACGTGACCTAATTTTACAAAATGGACACAAATTAAAGGGTTCAGGAGTCTTTATCCGAAAGGACCTACCGTTGGCAGACCGTGTTAAAAGACGGGACGCCGAGAAAGAACTACAACTTAGGTTAGACGCTGGCGAAAAGGACCTGAAAATTGTAAATTTTCGGGTTGTAAGACTTCGACAGAGAATGATGCCGAAGCCACTCTGGGTGAAGCACGAAGGCACTTAAACAGGCTTCGGATCTGTTACACCAATGCACGAAGCTTACTTAATAAGCGATCGGAACTAGGTGTACAGATTGACTCTACAAAGCCAGATATAATCGCAGTAACAGAAACCTGGCTGACACAGGCTATAGATAGTATGGAACTTGATTTCGAGGGTTTTACGTTAGTAAGGGCCGACAGAACACAAAAGCGCAAAGGAGGGGGAGTAGCTCTATTCATTAGGAATGCTATCCCATTTGCCATTATCGATAGTGTATCCCATGAGAGTGGGACGTGTGAATTAGTTAGTCTTCGCTTAAAATGCAAGGGACAAGAGCTGCTGATTGGTTTGGTCTATCGCAGTCCAAGCTGTGAGGCAAATGAGATCCTGTTAAGCAGTCTCAATACTTGGTCCCAAAGTGGTCGATGTCTAATCCTAGGGGACTTCAATGCACCTATGGTAGACTGGGAAAATCTGCGAACTAAATCGTCGGAGAATTCTTTCGAGCAGGAACTAGTTGATGCGGTTATCACATGTGCTCTAGTGCAACATGTGAAAGAAGCGACAAGGTACGATCCGGACACTGAATCATCCTTATTAGATCTTATACTGACTCACTATGAGGATGATGTTGCGAACCTCCACCATATGCCACCCCTAGGTAAAAGTGACCACGGAGTTTTAACTTTCGACTTCCATATAACTGCCAGTCACGAGCACGCGTCAGTCCAGTCCAGACCCAACGTCTGGAAAGCAAACATACCAGACATCATGCACTCAGCATCGTTAATAGATTGGACAATAGACCCAGAGTCCTCCATTGAAACGGCCTGGGACGCATTTCGAAATTCATACTTAAAAGTTACCACACCTCACATCCCTTGGACTATACCAAAGGGGCCGAAAAACTCACCACCATGGCTCAGTAGGGGGGTCCGTATCCTTCTCCGTAAGAAAAGGAAAATGTGGGATAGATTTAGGTTACTGGGGACTGATGAGTCAAAATCTCAGTATCGAAAGGCTCGGAATACTTGTGCCTCGACCCTCCGTAAGTCTAGAAAGTTGTACGAAGAAAATATTGTTAAGGAATCCGTAGAATGTCCTAAACGCTTGTATTCCTATATAAACCAAAGGACAAGGAGAAGAGGAAATATTCCTGCTCTATGGGGAGACAGTACTGCTTCATCATTAGTGGAAGACGACTTTGGTAAGGCTCAAGTGTTCTCGAACTACTTTAGCAACGTATATACCATAGAAGCGCCCTTCCCGTCAGCGTATACAGATCCCCCATACATACACTGGATAGCGTGACCATTAAAGAACTCGATGTCTTTGGTCTGCTAAATAAGCTTGACATAGGTAAATCCACGGGGCCCGATGAATTACATCCTAGGCTACTGAAGGAATTATCTAACTTCGTTGCAAGCCCTTTAAGTACATGCTTTAACCTATCCGTTACGCAGGGTCGTTTACCAAAAGACTGGAAAAACGCCATATTAAGTCCTGTCTTCAAAACAGATACGAAACACAAACCTGAGAACTACCGCCCCGTTAGCCTAACTAGTGTGGTTGTTAAAATCTTAGAAAAGATTATTCGGAAGGAGCTGTTTAAGTGTCTCGATAAAAACCGGATCCTCTCGGAGAAGCAGCACGGCTTCAGAATAGGTTATTCTTGTCTCACTAACTTATTAGTGGCTCGTGAAAGCTGGTGCGCTCTTAAGGACCAAAAGCTACCTGTAGACGTCGTCTACATTGATTTCAGTAAAGCTTTTGACAAAGTTCCGCACAACCGGCTGTTACATAAGTTAAGAAGAGTCGGGATTGGAGGCAATTTATTGATGTGGATAAAAGACTTCTTAGTTGGGCGTCAACAAAGAGTAAGGGTGAACTCAAAGTTATCTAGCTGGGAAACTGTGCTTAGTGGAGTGCCCCAGGGTACAGTTTTGGGGCCAGTGCTATTCCTCTTGTATGTAAATGACCTTCCTTGTCTCCTATCATCATCGGTCTTGCTATATGCTGACGATGTCAAGATATGGAAAACGATACGATGTAAGAGTGATAGCTTAGAACTTCAAAATGACCTGAAGAAGTTATCTGAATGGTCTCAAACATGGCAGTTGCCGATAAATACTTCCAAGTGTGTTGTGATGCATATCGGTCATCAAGGCACAGATACATACACGATGAATAACACTGAGCTACCTGTCGTCCAGACATATAATGACTTAGGAGTTATCGTTAGTCAAGACTTAAAGACTACTGCACACTGCCGTGCAATAGCCGCCAAAGGTTTTAGAACCTTATGGTCAATACGTAGGGCCTTTTATTCGTGTCGACGCTAAAACATTTTTGACTTGATATACAGTGTTCATCCGTCCGAAATTTGAGTACTGAATAAAAGCGACCAGCCCTTGCTTAGACAAAGACAGTGAGTTTTTGGAAAATGTTCAGAGAACGGCAACTAAGCTGATTCCCTAAATGGCGAAAATCCCGTGTGATGCTTGACCGGTCAAGCTAAACCTATCCACATTGTCATATCGAAGAACTAGAGGTGACTCGATTACAGTTTCAAATTGCTTAGTGCCAAATTTGCACCTGATATGCCCTCATTTTTCTTGTCTTCCAAAACAGAGAATTTACGAGGACACTCCAAAAAAGTTCATAAGCCGAGAACAAGTTACTTGTCAGCTGACCATCGACTTTCCCATCGAATCATCAACGAGTGGAATTCACTACCTCAGCACGTGGTTGAGGCTCCATCCGTCGACTCTTTCCCCGACCGAAGCTGCTACCTTGACGCGGTGGTCGGGCTTGCCTATCGTGATGACCCAACCGAGCTATATTGGCTGGAACATATGTTCCTGTAGGTTCTACCATGCCAGGCAGGTCGATTGGTGAACGGTAAGACTAAAAGCAGCAACTCAAGGTCTGAGGGCGAAGTCGTACTGCTGACTGTAGAGGGTGTGACAGCAGTAAGGTGTTTCCCTCGGACAACCAGCATGACAGCGATGCTGCCTTCCCACAAGGAGGGGTGGGGTTAGAAAAG